ACTCACTCACTCACACTCACTCACTCACACTCACACACACTCACACTCACCCACTCACACACTCGCCACTCACTCATTCACTCACTCACTCACTGTTGGCTGAAGCCAGTTCTTTTCTCCAGGCCAATGCATATTGGGAGGGCGGTGCGACTTGGAAGCCCGACTATCCACCGGCCAAAGGCAGCCTGGTGCCACCAGGAAGATGGGAGAAGCTCATAGAAGCTCTGGAGAAAACCATCACTCACACTCACTCACTCTCACTCACACTCACTCACACTCACTCACACTCACTCACACTCACTCACACTCACTCACACTCGCTCACACTCCCTCACTCTCCCTCACTCACTCACTCACTCACTCACACACTCACACACTCACTCACTCACTCACTCACTCACTCACCTACCTCACCTACCTCACCTACCTCACCTACCTCACCTACCTCACCTACCTCACCTACCTCACCTACCTCACCACCTACCTCACCTACCTCACCTACTCACCTACATCACCTACCTCACCTACCTCACCTACCTCACCTACCCTCACCTACCTTAACTTACCGCACTACTCACTCACCTCACCCCAACTCACTCACTCACTTCACTTCGCTTCGCTTCGCTTCGCTTCGCTTCACTTCACTTCACTTCACTCACTTCACTCACTTCACTCACTTCACTCACTCTCACATCCCTCACTCACACACACCACACTCACATCACTCACTCACACTCTCACTCACTCACTGTACATGAACATACATACATACATACACACAAACTCACCCACCATCACCGCTCCATCACTCTTATACTTCCTCTTCCCTTCTTGCTTTTCTATGGTCAGTCTAAGTCTAAAAAAGTTGGTAACATGTGGGGTTATCCGGTCCTTTAATTGTTTCTTCTAGTTCGGCAAAGTCATTTGGCACATGTAGGGTCCCAGAAACCATAAATTGCAGAAATCTAGACCTTGATCCGCAAAAAGTATTATCACCCCCAGCAGTAAAGGCCAGATCAAGCAGCTGCCAAGGAACCAACTTTCAGGCTCTATGGCATGGCCATCATGCGAGAGCATGCTGCAAATACTCTCGGGGTTCCAAATTCGACGGGCCATAGACACCTCTTTACGGGGCCGATGATCACACGCTTCATCAGGGCAAGGATCAGAAACCGTGGGTTTGAATATGCCTGAATTAAACCATACGAGTATCGAAGGACATTTTAGAAGTTGAACTTCCGAAAATATGGACAGATGGAAGAGCAGAGGTGGGAAGAGTCAGAGAAGAAGAAAGAAGATCAAGGTGCTCGAAAAGATAGAAAATCTGCCAGGCGCTGTGTTTTCCAATGTGTTGTGGCTCCGGAGGGTCGAAAAGTAGGCTCACTAAAGCGGCGGGTGTGGAGCCATCTGGGGAGATGATGTGAAAAACTGTCGGGTTCGGATCACTTTTGGAAGTTGTGATATGGAAAAAGTGCACGTTGTTGTGGTGCGAAGCCAAAATGGTAAGAGCACACCATATTCGGAACACTTTTGGAAGTTGTGATGTTGAAAAAGTGCACGCCGTTGTGGCGCGAAGGCATTTCGAAGTCAAAAGTGTGAACATCTGTCGGGTTCGGAGCACTTTTGGAAGTTGTGATGTTGAAAAAAATGCACGCCGTTGTGGCGCGAAGCACATTTCACTTTGGAAGTTGCGATGTGGGAAAAGTGCGCACCATTGTGGCGCGAAGCACATTTCGAAGTCAAAAGTGTTAAAAACTGATAGTCTCGGACCACTGTTGGAAGTTAAGACGGTTTCGTAGCAGTTGCAAAAACGTTGGCAGGCGTGGGACATTTGAAGAGGATCCGCAAAGATGCATTTCGCATGGCAGGCGCAATACAAGAGACTTGTTCATCAGAGATGTCAGGAGGTCAGGGCGCTGATTTCCTGAGAGGGGGTGCATTTTGGAGCGTCAGATCTTCAGGTTTGCTAAGATAATTTTGCGTGACAGGTGCAGCACTTCGTATGACCTGGCCGCTGGATTCAGAATCCAGAATGCTAACCGTTACACCACGGGACCAGCTGATGGAAGTGACGGGGCGCATGAGTTGAGCCTCGGAAGCTCCGGAAGGGATCAGGTGTTGCAGCACACTGTCCGAAAGTCAGAGGCCGTCAGGGGGCCATAAAGGCTAAAGCAGGAAGTTAAAAGAGGGGCAACAACAATTCATTATTGTACTTTTTTCAAGCGCATGGAGGCTTTAGACCTGCAGTGCGCTAACAGCCTGCAGGCCGGTGACTAAGAGGAACTCTTTGCACTTTGGCCTTGAGTTGGTTCTGTCTCCGTGAGCAAACCCTGTAAGGCTACCAGCTTCCAGCAGGTGTGCTGCACCTGCTGTTGTTTTTCTTCTTCTTTTTCCACCCCTGCTTAGGTCTTGAAGATTCGGCGTGCTGCAAACAAATACTTATTTCGGGGTCCGTCAAAGCAGCAGACAGGAGAAGCAGAATTCTAGGCCGCAACTATGTGGAAGTCCCATGGGTTGCAACATGGAAGAAGTAAAAGGGCAAAAGGGCCTGCTTTGCAGCCAGAGCCCAATGTGTGCCTTGAGCCAAAATGGCTACAGTGCCTGCAATGTCAGACTGGGTTGACTGTCGCGACATCTGCCAGGTCCAGTTCCAGCCTGGCGGCTTGCTGGCGAGGGCTGCATCCCATGAAGAAAAGAAGAAAGAAGCACGGTGGAAGGTAGCAGGGAGGCCACAAGCAGGCGCAGTGCTTTACGCAGATGGTATGGAAAAAATTACTTTACTTCGTGTGATCCCCACCATGACATTTATACATTTTCTTACTGGCAAATCTTCTGGCATTCTATCTGACATATCTTCTGACATTCTATTTGGCATTCTATCTAGCATATCTTCTGGCATTCTATCTTCTGGCATTCTATCTGGCAAATCTTCTGGCATTCTATCTGACATATCTTCTGACATTCTATTTGGCATTCTATCTAGCATATCTTCTGGCATTCTATCTGGCATATCTTCTGGCATATCTATCTGGCATATCTTCTGGCATATTTTCTGGCATTCTATCTTCTGGCATATTTTCTGGCATTCTATCTTCTGGCATTCTATCTGGCATATCTTCTGGCATTCTATCTGGCATATCTTCTGGCATTCTATCTGGCATATCTTCTGGCATTCTATCTGACATATCTTCTGGCATTCTATCTGGCATTCTATCTGGCATATCTTCTGGCAAATATTCTGACATATCTTCTGGCATTCTATCTGGCATTCTATCTGGCATATCTTCTGGCATATCTTACGGAACTTATACTGGCAGATCTTCTGCATTCTTTTCTGGCATTCTATCTGGCATTCTATCTGGCATATCTTCTGACATTCTTTCTAACTTTCTTCTGCAAATTCTTTGTCCCATATCTTCCTACATGAGGTCCGGCAAGGAACACTTGGCGTGGATACTCGCGGTTGAGGTCCGGCAGGGAACACTTGGCATGGATCCTCGCGGTTGAGGTCCGGCAGGGAACACTGGGGATACCCGCGGTTGAGGTCCGGCAGGGAACACTGGTGGATACTCGCGGTTGAGGTCCGGCAGGGAACACTGGGCGTGGATGGTCGTGGTTGAGGTCCGGCAGGGAACACTGGGCGTGGCTGGTCGTGGTTGAGGTCCGGCAGGGAACACTGGGCGGGGATGGTCGTGGTTGAGGTCCGGCAGGGAACACTGGGCGTGGATGGTCGTGGTTGAGGTCCGACAGCGAACACTGTGGATCGCGAGTCGCAATTGAGCAGGAGGACGAGGAGGACAACGAGAGGAGGAGGAGGAGGCGGAGGAGGAGGAGCAGGCGGCAGGAGGAGGAGGAGGAAGGAGGAGGAGGAGGAGGACCAGGCAACTTAGATAAAATCTAACAACCCTCACCTGGCAGGTGGGGAAAAAGCAAAACGCATTGGTACGAGGCCGTCAGCTCTGAGCTCAACTTTCGCTTCGTTTTTGATGTTGTCAACTTGGAAACTTGAGGAAGTCTCGCAGACTTGTTTCGTTTTTGACGTTCCCAAGTTCAAAACTTAAGGACGTCTTGCAGAATAGCTTCGTTTTCAAGCTTGCAGATAGATAGATACATAGACAAAGACAGCTACAACTACAAATATCAACTACAAGTATACTCCGCTACGTTACACTACACTAATCACATTACACTACTAATTCCACTACCCTCCACCAATTACACTACACTCTTTGCAGTACACAACAACAACAACAAACAACAACAACAACAACAACAACAACAACTGTTACTATTACAGCAACGACGACGACGACGATGACGACGATGACGACGACGACGACGACTACTACTACTACTGCTCCTGCTCCTGCTGCTGCTTCTGCTGCTGCTACTGCTACTGCAATTGCTACTGCTACTGCTACCACTACCACTACCACCACCACCGCCATTACTCCTCCTACAGCCTCAGCTACAGCTACAGCTACATTACGCTACACTACACTACTCCACAACTACAACTACAACTACAACTACACCACATTACAAAACACCACACTACAGCTACAACTACAACTACAGCTACAACTACACTACTGTTCTATGCTACACTGCAATGCAAAACACTACAGTACACTACGATACACGAATTACACTACACTAGTTACACCACACCATAACAACAACAGCAACAACAACAACAACAATAACAACTGCGACTTTAACTGCAACTACAATACAATGAAAACACTACATTACAACTACAACTCCACTACGCTACAACTACAACTGCACTACACCACACTACATCCGGCAGTTGTGGGTGAAGTGACCACTGCAACCATTGCAACCACCTGCCCCCCCCCCCAAAAAAAACTCCCACCACCTTTCGGTCCATCAGTGGATTCGCTCTGCCATCCATGCATCGCGACAACTCACCTCTCCTATAGTGCCCTATCTTTGAAACTTCCGCCATCGCCTTGTGCGGTACTATTGGTGTGTAAATATATATATATAAATGTATAAATATATATATGGTGGTTGATCAAAATTCCTTTATCCCGGAACGGCCATTCTTCGCGAATAAAAATTTTACTTTCGCGAAACTTTCGCGAAGTCCATGTTTATCTTTTAATGAAGAAACAATCCCAAAATGCAATCTGAGGACAAAAGCAATTCCAATACAAACCTCTCTTTAGAAAGAGATGCCAATGTCAACCCGAAATCAAACTTATCAAAATTATTCCTGGAATAAAGGTCATGATCAAATGCAAGGAATTACATTGTTTTATGCAACTATATAGTGTACTTATGGTGATTCACAATATCCAACTTTCGCGAAACTTTCGCGAAATAAAATTTTACTTTCGCGAAATCAAAAAAAACTTTCGCGAGGGTTTCCAACATAACATGCACGGCTTTCGCAATTAAAACTCCTTACAAGGACCTTTAGATTAACCATCATATATATATAAGTTGTGGCAATTCACACAACCTACATTCATCTTCACTCTTCTCTCTCGGGTCCCCCTAGTATCCACCTAGATGCAATGTAAGAGAATTCACCAACCTGAAAAAATCTATCCTTGCTACCCATCATCTTAAATTCTTACTTAGAACATCTTAGAACCATCCCTTGTCGAGTGATTGGATGTTGTTCTACTAAGGTACCCATACACCAAACGACAAATTGGGGATACCTGGTTGTGAGCGGCCTTGCTATCACAACTGGCTCGCAACATCTAAAGAGCACTGTTTTTTCAAGGCCCCATCCTGTTTGAAAGCGCCCGCCCTTAGCACCAACACGCTGAAGCTCACATTCACATGTCCGTTCAAGATTGGGATCTACAAGGAAACCATGGAAATTACAAAACAAACCTAAAGGCTTTTGAAGAACAATTTCCCTTGAATCACTCTTTTCTTGGGCTGAGACGCGATCTTTCTGCGTTCCACAGCTGAACGGTTTTCCCTTCCGCGCCAGGCACTGACTGGTACCTTCGCCTTGCTCGGGATCAATGTGGGAGGATAGATGAGAAATGATCAGGAAAGGGCTCTAAGCCGCTTCTAGAAACGCTCAAAGCTCATTGTCAACAATAATGGATGATTTTGGGACACTTGCTCAATGGACTACCCAACAGCTTTCACATAGATTCGCTAGCCATAGGGGATTTCCATGCATTTCCATGGCTTTCCCAAGACAAACACCACATGACTTGAAGAAGAAAGCGCTAGCGCTGGTGATATATGTGTTGGTTTCTGAAGTCTGAAACCGTAAATACTTGTACGACCGGGAAGTCATGGATCGTTTCAAGTCTTATGATATCAGGAAGTTCAGATTTTCTAATTTACTGAGGATGCTCAAGGTGTGTGTGTATATATATATATCACTCTACGAAACACCCGGTTCATCAATCAAGGTTAACCTGGCCATGATGATACCTGCCGGAGGGTTTCTGCTCTGAGTTTGGTGGGGTGACATGATGCTCCATACGTATCACGCACCTATATGTATCTATGTATATATATATATATATGTATATATATATGTATATATATATATATATGTATATATATATGTGACATGTGGGTACTCCAAGTTTCAACCTTCCTCTAATTACTTGTTTATAGTTTATCTTTTACTGCACTTCACAACAGCCATGATACAACCCACAATAACCACCAGTGCGACCAAGCCTCCTTCAGTTTTTTCTGTCGCTCGTGCAACTTCTTGCAGCCCGAAAAGCGGATGAAATACCCCGTTGGCAGTGGCCATTCCCGTTCGCGCCACATCCTTGGCTGCGACCGCCCACATTCATCATTGGTATCGGGTTGGGACCACACGGCCAGAACGCTTAAATCCAACGTTTCCATAGCTCAATCCTAGTTGAAGGAGCGGTAACTATGCTACCACCGCACTTACATATGGTCCTTGCATGGCCGCCTGGCCAGTATCCAACAAAAAGGGGGAACAAAGCTGAATTGGCAGAACCTGGCCTAGAAGACACAGGGCAGGATTGATTTGGGGTAATGTCAACCCCAACGTAATAAAGTGTAGTTAGTCATAAAAGGATTGGGGGTTTTTCCCAAATAATGATAATTTACTACTAAAAGGTCTCCAATTCAACAACCCTGATGTCAGACATTGACACGAACTGGAGCACAGCATTTTGAGGAGTTGTCTTGACCCACAACTATTTCCTTTTTTCACACCTAAACATCAGAGTTTGGCAGTCTTCAAAAAAGTGTGTTTTTCCCAACTTTAGACCCACAACTGTCTGTATTTTCCATCTGTCCCAGATGTGTTTAAACCAATGGCAACCTTAATTTTTTAATGCCAAACTATCCACTTGCTAGAGGGGGTCTACACTAAGGATCACTAAGGAACTATCACCCCAGTTGCAACTTCACCACCCCAAAAAACAAAACGAAAAATAGCAACGATTGATAGCTCGGAATGGAAAAAATTACTTGGTGTTTATAGTATAAATATCTATATCTTATATCAAAATATGGCATGTATGTCTATTTATGCTGTATACTTAAAATATATTAAATAAGTATATATATATATATATATTAACTTGGGCTTCGTACTTGCTTAACTGGGATATCGTGCATGCCATTACCCATTCAAAATATCCCAAAAAACTTCTGCAAATCGATAAAACAAAACGAGGTTCGTTTGGCCGAAACTGGAAGCAACCTCTGAAAATTCGCCTCAATGCTGTGAAAAACAGGGGGCCCAAGCTGCTTTAGAGGGCGGCCCAAAATGTTGGCGAAAATAGTTAAATTAGCTAGAAATAGCTAGAATAAGTAGGACGTATATTATTGTATATTCATGTATGGTGGTTTTCACTATAGTTAAACATAGGCAAACAAACTTACAAAGAAACTTACAACTAGGCCCCACAGGTGGCAGGCGACCACTTGAAATTCCGATTTGGGTTACCGGGATATCAGCCAAAAAGGTTGTCTTACCAGGCCTCATGGATATGGTTTTTGAATGTTTTTGTCCAAAAATGGGACACGCCCCAATGATCCCCAATGGCAAAAACAACAGTAAACGACAGGATTTTGGGGTACCCCTTTCACTCAACACTTTTCGAACAATTATTCAATGAACAACCGACCAATAAACGGGAATGGGTCAGTTCACCCTTGTACTCTGGATGTTCACATGCAAAAGTGTGATCAGAAAGAAAATGCTCAGTTGTGTGAATAACAACTCATGTTTTGCACACCCATTCGTTTGTATTGACACATGTCATGTGCACATCAATAACAACCAAATCCTCATGGGAAGCGCCACCAAATTCCTACTCACCGCATTCATGTTTAAACCACCCACCAGCAACACCGCTACTGGAATGGAGGGAAAACAATCATACCACCAACCCATGCAACCTGCTGGCCGCAAACCCGCGCGTATAGTCACGCAACATTCCTTTAAACATGAAGTCCCCGGTCAGAATCTTATATCTTTTTCGGGGCCCATGAAGTAATTCCCCAAACAGAGTGTCCACACTGAGGATTACTGAAGGGTTTTTACGGTCAGCGTGAAAGGCCAGGGTTAGATGAAGGTGCGTTCTTTGGACCGCGTCATTTATGTAAATTCTCTCAAAAAGTGCCCTTGCGCGACGTCCATGTAGATTTCGAAAACGCAGGCTCGCACAAGGTCTGCGCCGCCAGGTTGTCAAGGTCTTGGTCTGGAGCATTGTCATTGCAAATTCTCCCTTAAACGGTCTCTTCTGAGATGTCCATGAGCATTTCAGCTGCGCAGGCTCGCACGAAACGGGTTTCCCGGTCTTGGTCTGCGGCATGTTCACTGCAAATTCTTGCATAAACGGTTTCTTTTCAGAGAAAACGGTTGTCCCGGTCTTGGTCTCCGAAATTTTGTTGCAACTTCTGGCAGAAACAGTTCCTTTTGAGATGTCCATGTGCATTTCCATTGCGCAGGCACGCACACAACGGTTGTCCCGGTCTTGGTCTCTGGCATTTTCAGTGTAAATTCTCCCAGAAGCAGTTCCTTTTGAGATGTTCATGTGCATTTCGACTGCGTAGGCTCGCACAAAGTCTGCGCGGCCGGGTTGTCAAGGTCCTGGTCTGGAGCATTTTCATTGCAAATTTTGGCGTAAACGGCGTCTTCTGAGATGTCCATTGTGCATTTCAACTGCGCAGGCTCGCGCAAAATGGTTGTCCTGGTCTTGGTCTGTGGCATGTTCACTGTAAATTCTCGCGTCAACGGTTAATTGCAGTTTTGCTCAAATAGGGTCTACGCCCACCCCCACAATTTACAACTGGCAATTTCAATGAATCTGAAGGACAAAACGAATCAATCTAACATTGTCTCCTTTCTTGTTTGATGCATTGTCCTGATTACCTGTCATCTTTTCAGATTCTACGTGTTATGGTCGATACCTGGCCTTACTCAATTTCCCTCTAAAAGTTTCCTTTTTTCTTTCCTTACCCATAACTGAGTTGAACTCAATTTTCCTCAACTTTCCTCAAAAGGTTTCCTTTTTGTTTTTTCTTTCCTTACCCATAAGTGAGTTGAACTCAATTTTCCTCAAAATCTCTCAGTTCAGATTTTACATCGTACCTACGATTAACCTACCTACCAATTGCCACCCCATACGGCAATCCCTGATAAACGGCTCCGTTTGAGATGTCCATGCGTGTCCACACTGAGGGGTCCTTACTGTAAGTTCCCGACGCAGTGTCCGTGCTGGGGGTTTCTTACAGCGGTGTTAAATCAGGGTACGCTCTCAGGGGCGCGGGATTTTTGCTGCCAATTCTCGCGCTACTTCCCTTGTGAGATGTCCATGTGCATTTCGACTGCACAGGCTCGCACAAAGTGTGCAGCTATGCTTGCCTTGTGCAATACTTTGTAGCCCTCGACGAATGAATCAGTGGCTGAAACGCGCAACCTTCTCGTCACTTTGTGCGTGTCTGCTCGCTCCTCCTTGTGGCACGGTGCGAAGTGCGAATTTTGATATCGCTCGCGCAACCCTCTTGCAACCTTTTCGGCACTTTGTGCGTATCGGATCACTCTCGTCGTGGTGCGCTGCGAATTTTGCCATCGCTCGCGCAAACCTCTCGGCACTTTGCGCGCGTCAGATCGCTCTGATTGTAGCCCAGTGCGAATTTTTGCTGACGCTCTTGGATCCTGCTAAAGAGATCTTATGATTTTTTCTTGCAAGGGTTTCATGGTGCGTCATATATGACGATCTTGACCAGGGTCTTGTAGAGGTCCTTGTCGGAGGTCCTTGCGTGATCTTGTACAAGTCGACCAGAAGATCTTGCGAAGATCCTGCTGACATCCTCTACGAGCTCCTTGCATGATCTTGCGCAGGTCCTTGTGGAAAGATCTTGTGGAGATCCTGATCCTGGTAAGACCCTCTCAGAGCTTGTATGACAGATCGTTTCGGAGGCTCTTGGGAGGTTCTTGTATCGAAATCTCGTGGGATCCTCTCCGGCAGCAGGAGGTCCTTTTCTGACGATCTGGTGAGATTCTCTTGGACTAGAAGTCGTGGCATGAAGATCTTGGTCAAAGTCTTTTTACAGCTCCTTATGAGAAGATCTTGTGGGGATCATAGTGAAATGCTATCAGGGGCCTTGCGTGATCTTGTATAGGTCCTTGTGAGAAGCTCTTGAAGAGGTCCTCATGAAATCCTTTAGATGTCCTGACATGATCTCGTGCAAGTCCTTGTGAGAAGATCTTGTGGAGATAACTTGCATGAAGATTTGGAAGATGCTCTGCATTGGTGTTTGTCTCAAAAGTTTTTCTGGAATGGTCAAAAGTTTCCGGGATGGTCAAAAGAAGTTCTTGTCTGAAGAAACTGCGAGATCCTCTATGTAGATCTATAGAGAACGTCCTGATGCTGCAGTTGCGACGATGTCTAAACCTGCTCTGCTACTGTTCCCTATAGCTACTGTCGCTTGTACCTGCTACATTCTGCTACATTGACTTTTTACCCCCCCCCACACACTGTTTCGGGTCTCTTGCCGGCGTTATATTTTTTAGAGGACTTACAGGAGAACACCACGAGAAAGCAATTTTTGCCACAACTTCTCTTCTTTGGCCTCTCAGGTTTGCAACTAGCTAAGTCTATGCATTTGAGGAGCCTCCTTGCAGAGACTGCTATCTTGCAGTTCAAAATCTTCTGTCTGGGGCTCTGCATGCCCTTTCTTGGGTGTGATAGACTGTGGTCGACGGGTGTGCAACTTCCAAAGATGAGTGACACACCTGACTCCTCCCGACCCTCCGAATGCCAAAATATCAGTAACGACTACAACGAAACGCGCCTTCTTGCAAGCGTAGGAACGAAGAAAACAGACACATACATACGTACGTACGTACTTACTTGCTTACTTTACTTTACTTTACTTAACTTACTTTACTTACTTACTTTACTTACTTACATACAGAATTGCATTAATACATACCATACAATACAGTACAGTACACTACGCTACAGTAGAGTAGAGCACCGTACAATACAGTACATTGACATGACATGACATGGCCTGGCATTTCATTCCATTACATTACATTTCTTGAAGTTACATCACAATACATACACACACATGTACACACTTCTACGAATAGGTGTACAGTAACTAATCAAGCGGAATGTAGATAATCAACACCATGTATTGGGTGGTGCAACATGTCATGTTTCCAACTCATCAAGCTCCGTTTGGAACCCCCACCCTGCCTTCAAGCTCAGAAAAACTGGCATTCAAAGCTCGTAGCTCTTTTTCCACGCCGGGCAGATGATTGGCTCCCAGGATCGCCACTGTGGAACGATGACCCAACCTTGTTGGTGGTTGACATGTGCCATGGTTAAGAGGTGGTATACAGTCTAAGATTACCCCACCATCATGACCGGGATTCCAAACAAAATGGGTACACATGCCCCACTCTGGGTATATAACCAAACTTTTAACTATGGCACATGAGATAAAGTCACTTGGGACAACGACATTCCATGTCCAATTCTTTTTTGGATGAAAACCAACAACATTGGGATCATACTGCCAGGGGAACAAAGAACATGGTATACTTTATAATACATGCAAAATTACATTATATGAATATCTAATATGTCACATAAAAAAGGAACGCGCAGTATGTAAACGTATTTTTGACAAATATGAACACATCTGCTACCAATAAAAGTCTTGCCTGGGGTGTTCATACGGTTCATGTGGAAAATACCTTTGAAACCCAAGAAACTCAAAAAATGATCAAACTCCCCAAGTGAGTGCAATAAAATGCCAAACATTCACAGAAAACATGTCCACCTTTCTCATGCCCATTGCATTTTGTGACTTTTCTTGCTGTGGCATGCTGTTAAGAAAGGGCAGCTTCTGAAACAAAAAACAACATCCCTTTCGAAAAATGCAGTACTTACAAAATAAAAATCAGCATCTCCTTGAAGACGTGAAGAAATGCAAAGACACCATTCCTATTCCTATTCCCTTTTGGAAGAGCAGCACTCGAATTGCAGTATCCCTCTAAAGATGCGCAGCACTCTCAACAAAAGCAGCGTTCACTGTCCTGAGAATACACTCATTCGTATACAGATAAAGCGCGGCAGAGCAAGCGCAGCAGTAAAAGCAGTGCATAAATTTCTGAGTATGTGTATTCCTGTCAGAAAGCACCATACGAATTTGTGCGATTTCTTTTTCAGCTCCTTGTTGAGAGAATGCGAATTTTCTAAATGCAGTGTTCGTTTGACGAGGCCTGCAATCCTTTCAAGCAACGCAGCATACACCTGAAAGAGGACTGCACAGTTTCCCGTCATGTCTATGAGAAAAAATGCTTGCAGAAACAGCAGCTATTTTCAAGCATGCAAAGTGCTTACACAAAAAGACTATATATTACGTAACATCCAGTCCTTCAATCTTTTATCTGGCGACTGGTGGAACCTTCAATCTTCAATTCAGCCGGACTTCAAAGAACTTGTTTAAATTCTTCAAATGCCCCCCAAATACTCTAAGTACACACTGTGACACAACATACTGGCAGTCACACTGGCAAATTCCCCTGAGCGACGTGCGAAACTATCCCATTCAATATTCTTTCTGTATATATGGCATCGTACGCGCCATAAGCATTTTGAGCAGAAAAATGGTAGATGTTCTTGCCGGGGTACCATGTATACATACGCAAGTTGCTGTGGGTATGGATCGTTTCGTGGTGATCCATACCTATGGATCAGTCTGGTGGATCACGTGCGTTTTGGTACGGATCGGGGGTTATTATGGACCACCTGTTGGCTTCAACCCATGATCAAGGCCATAAGTCTTGAGCCGCAGCAATATACAAGCCATTATGTGATACTATGCCTGGATCAACACATTTTAAACCTCCGGCAGGCGACAGAAGAGTGGTGAAGATTTGTATGGCGAGGTTGCGGTCGCGCGGCGCCATTATCTCTTCTTTGACAACGTCGTCATCACTTCTCAACTGGTGCGATTGCTGGCCCCGAGCAGTGCAACAGCTGTTTGGTGTGGCTGCTAAGGGCATTTCGAAGCCATGACCGACCTCTATAAATACAACCTGAGTAATAAGTAGGACCAACATTTGACTTTCACGATAGAACACTGCTTTCCTAGTTCGAATCATCTTGAGGTGGCCCTTTTGTCGTCCTGGCAAAAACTATGATGAATCCAGGGACCTGCACACAGACCCAAACATCCCACCACTGTTCTTGTATCAAAATTGTTCAACTTCAAGTAGCCAAACCGCACCTGAAATGCCAAAAGGCCACAAGACCTATATCCCATCTGGGCCGGACCTGACTGTCCACGAAGGAACTCTTCAAATCTGCCAAGACCAGCATCTTCCCCGGAGCAGCTCTTTGCTTGAAGGCAGCAAAAGCCTGGCGATTCTCGTCCGCGTACCTGTGTCGGTGCCATTAGTTGAAAGCGTTCAACGACACAAAGGCTGTCCATGAAGGGCTCGCCCTCCCAAAGTGTACTTATGACGTGAATTCTTTCGATGAGGGACAATAGACTCTAGCCTGTGAAGACCCTTCCAGTTGTGACAGCAATACCAGAAGTCAATAAATGTTCCTCAAATTTTGAACTGCTTCGGCGAGATCATCAAATAGCCGTCCCTGCTTCCAATTTTTTAAAGTCAATCCTAACTTTTTGGTCAGTTGATATCTTGATCCCAGCTATTCTGATCTATTCTGCGCATGTTCATCCCATTATAGTAGGTAAGTGCCACCTGCCATGTCTCGCAGACACGCCTCGCAGTTGCGCGTCGAGAGGCATCTAGCTCATCTGGTTTCATCCAATTTCTCTGGCGCTCTTCGCGATAGTCGTTTCCTTGAATTATCATGCCTACTCGCTCACGGCAGAGTTCCAGGACCAAGGCGCTGGGTTGAAGCTCTCCTTAGCAGAGAAAAGCCCGGGTTACGGCAAGTTAGTTAAAAACAATTAAACGCACTGATGCAAAAACATAATCGAACTCAAGGCGCAAATGGGGGAGTTTCAATTTCCATGCTTGTTGCCTGACTTACTTGGATTGCTGAAACCCTTGGTCGGTTGCACTACACATAAGTGAATGTCCACTTGTCCTTGTCTTGATTTGACCAGTTGTATCCAGTTGTGCTGATTCCCCACATCTTGACTGCCTGCCCCACAACAAGCGGGGTTTGCCTGGAAGTTGAGAAAACCATGTCATTAACATGTTGGGGTAAATCAATATAAATCATCTATTTTGACAAACGCAGGCAATTATATATAAATCTTTGGGCTGCAGAGCCGGAAGCCGACAGCAAGGGGGAGCGCGTCAGAGAAGAGATTACAAGCAGCATGCTGCAAGAACAAGAAAAGAGCGGGTTGACGGCAAAAAACGCTCGAAGTTTACACTACACGATTTTTGCAATGTCAAGGAACAAAACACTTTTCATAGCGGTGCCGGTGCCTGGCCACTTTCGGACGCGGAAACTACGTAGTTTTTTGCCCGTGACGGCCCACCCTGCGAAGCCCGCCCTGCTGCAACTTATCTACGCGCAATAAAGGGTCAAATGACCCTGCGCGCCGACGATGAGGGTCAGCTCTTACAATGTGGCAACCTGATGGGCTCATAGTGGGCACAAGAAGCGTTACGATAGCCCATCTTCAGCCCAAGATGGCCCAACATTCCCTCAACATGGCCCAAGTTAACCTTCAAAAGTCTCAACATGATCTATTTTGGTTTCAAGCGGCGCCGTGATAGAAAACCCCTGTGGTTTTGGCCGTTTTTGGTTTCAACGTAGCCCCAGCATGTTGCTGCGTTGGCCCATCTTGGGCCGAAGATGGCCTCAAGATGCCCCAGCATGGCCCCAACATGGCTGAAGATAGCCTCAAAAGCGTGAACCTGGCCCATCTTGGCCTCAAATTGCGTGCCGCTAACAAACCCTGTGGTTTACAGTGTCTTTTGCTTGTTTTGGGTCTCGACATGGCCTCAACATTAAGTCTAGACACCATTATTGGGTTTGTCTGGAAATAGAGTACCCCAAACTTGATGGCCTAGAATTAATATTTATATTTTTCAATTTTGATGGCCATAGCACATGTCTATTATTGATTGGTTGAATCTCTATTTATGTTCCCGGTTCCAGGTTCAGTAGCCCCTCCCCCCTACCCCGCAATGTTATGGTACCTGCCCCCCTTCCATCCCAAACAAAAATATCTTATTTGCATGCTGTTTGCAACATTTCAGGGCCACGGCCTCCCATTTGCTTGCTATTTGCACGCAACCTTCCACTTACACCCTTTTTGTAAGAGCTATATATGTCCCACAAAATACCTCGGTACCACCTATGTATGTACTACCTGCATGCTGTCTACATATTACCTATTTACATCAATCTATGTCTTGATTTTCCACTATACGACCCATAGCGTATCTATTTCAACTACTTGTATGCAATTCTATGCAATTCTACTATTTTTGTTATATTACACGCATTGCATGCCTGTTTGCAACCTTCATACCACTCATAGCGTACCTATATACTAACTACCTCCGTCCTACTCATCTACGACTGACAAACTGTCCTATATACTGCCGATATACTACCGATATACTGCCGATACAAGACGGTTACAAATAAATAGATAGACGCTACATATGTAATTCCTACATACACACTATCATATAGCACTATATTCCCCATACAGCACATGCAACCACCTTCCCACCCCGGGGACCGGGTTTACCATAAACACACTCCATACACAACCACCTCTTACCCCAACCCACACCCACACAGGGGTTGGGGGGATACCATGTTGTTGGATAAACCACATTTTTGGTTGAATACTTCTCCTGTAAATGCTGAACAAATTCTTTGGAAGTAGGCTTCGTGATGAGTCTCTGACTTTGTTGCCCGCCGCCTTTGCAGCCGTCCCACTCTCATGATTCACCCCCACGAGAACGATCTCCGCCTGCATCGTCGCACGGCACGGCTGCCAAAAAACATCTGCGGGGTATTACAGAATCCCTTGGGTTATCATGGTTATCGGTTATCATGGTGTATCGTAACTTTCCCTCCAGATCCGAATATCCTGGAAATTCAATTTGTCTGGTATCCCCCCGGTCTAGTTGATGCCATGATCTCTAACCACCCAATCGCCAGCGTTAAAGGAGCAGAACTAGGGAGATGAAAGCAACAAGACGTGGGGATACCTCCTTCAAAATCTGGAAGACAAGCCAAAATTATGGTGTCTGGCTACTGTATGCAGTATGGCCATGGCAAGAAACAATTTTCCCCAAAAAAGCAGGCCCACACTGAGGGAGTTAAGGCTGGGGTTAGACCAGGGTACACTCTCTGAGCCCCGGCATTAAATTCTCGCATAAAAGTGTCCTTGTGAGATGTCCATGTGCATTTCGACTGCGCAGGCTCGCGCACAGTCTGCGTGGCGCGGTCTTCACGTTTCTGGGGCGCATCATTTTTTCCGTTTTTTTTCGCTTAACCTTTCTTTTTTGAGATGTCCCATGTGCATTTCGACCGCGCAGGCTCGCACAAAACGAGGTTCCCGTTCTTGGGGCGCAGCATATTTCCTGTAAAATCTGGCCTAATTTGTTCTCTTGTGACATGTCCATTTCGATTTCACAGGCTCGCACAAAGTCTGCACTGCGGGGTTTTCAAATTCTTGGGGCGTGTCATTTTTCCTGTAGATTCCCGCATAAAATTGCTCTTCTGACATGTCCATGTGCATTTCCACCGCGCAGGCTGGATTTCGACTCCGCAAGCTTGTGACATGCATGTTCATGTGCATTTCAACTGCGCAGGCTCGCACAAAACGGTGTTCTTGGGGCGTGGCATTCTGGCCTACACATTCTCGTGTACAATTGCTCTTAGAGATGCTCATGTGATTTCGACCGCGCAGGCTCGCGCAAAAACGGATGTACCGGTCTTGGTCTGGGGCATTTTTGTTGTACCTTCTCGCAAAAACGGCCTCTTCTGTCATGTCCATGTGCATATCGACTGCGCACCGCAGGGTCCTCCAGCTCTCTTGGTCCGCGGCCTTTTCATTGTAAATTCTTGCATAGACGGGCTCTTGTGGAGATCCTGCTGCATTCCTCTCTAAAAGGTCCTTGCATGATCCTGTACAGGTCCTTAACAGTGGAGAGCCTGGCCAGATCCTCTCTCAGAGATCCTTGCAGGTGCCATCCTTAGAGGTGCTAGGCTCTTGGGAGGTTCTTGTGTCAGGATCTTGTAGGAAGTTCAGGTGAAGATGCCAGTGAAATGCTGTCAGGGGTCATTGCATGATCTTGCACAAGTCCTTGCGACAAGCTCTTGTAGATATCCCGGTGAAATCCTCTAAGAGGTCCCTGCATGATCTCGTACAGGTCCTTGTCAGAAGCTCTTGTGGAGACTCTGCTGAAATCATGCTCCAAAGGTCCTGCATTAGGATCTTGCAGATGCTCTTCATTGGTGCTGTGTGAATTTTCTTCTAGGATGTGCGTACGAATCTATTGTATGAAGATCTTTTGAGATCCTCTATATAGAAGATCCTTCTTTGACGATCTTTCGAAATTCTCTTAGATGTCCTGGTCTGAGGTTCTGGCCTGAGGCCCTGATGAGTAGACACAGCTGAGGCCCTGATTTGTGCTGATTCTCTTGGATCCTGCTAAAGAGATCTTACAAGAGTTCTTTCTTGCAAGGGTTTCATGGTAGTTCATATATGAAGATCTTGACCAAGGTCGTGTAGAGTCCCTTGTGAGATGGAGCTGTGCAGATCCTGGTGACACCCTGAGGTCTTTGCGTGATCTTGTAGAGGTCCTTGTCAGAAGATCTTGTGAAGATCCTGCTGACATCCTCTAAGAGCTAGCTCCTTGGATGATCTCGCGCAGGTCCTTGTGGGAAGATCTTGTGGAGATCCTGATGGTGGTAAGATCCTCTCTAACAGGTTCTTGCATGAAGATCTTGCAGATGCCATGTCTTAGAGGTCATTGCCTGGCAGTTCTTGTGGGATGTTTTGGGAGTTTCTTGTATCGAAATCTTGTGGGATCCTCTCCGGCAGCAGGAGGTCTTTTGCTGACGATCTTGTGGCATGAAGATCTTGGTCAAAGTCTTTGACAGCTCCTTGTGAGAGGACCCCGTGGAGATCCTAGTGAAATGCTGTCAGAGGCCTTTGCATGATCTTGTACAGGTCCTTGTGAGAAGCTCTTGAAAAGGTCCCCGTGAAATCCCCTAGGTGTCCGTACATGATCTCGTACAGGTACTGATGAGAAGATCTTGTGGAGATCCCGTTGAAATCCTCCTCACACCTTGCATTAAAATCTGGAAGATGCTCTGCATTGGTGCGTGTCTCAAAAGTTCTTCTGGGATGTTCATAGGAAGTTCTTGTCTGAAGAACGTGTGAGATCCTCTATATAGATCTATATTGAACGTCCTGCTGCTGCAGCTACGATAATGTCTAACCTGATCTGTTACTGTTCCATAGCTACTGTGCATTGTATCTGGTACATGGACTTCCTACATTCCTACCCCCATTATTTGGGGTCTCTGGCCGGTATAATTTTCAACCCCCCAGACCTATTACAGGACCTGCAAATCTGAGTCTTGTTCAATACTACGGTAGTCATCAAAGGGCTACCCAAATTGTGAATGGTGTGCAAATTTTGGCAGATCGTCAGGGCCCAAAACGGAACAAGGCTGGTGTGGTCCATACGCTTCTAGCAATTTCAACCATATTGATATGGGTAAGACCAGAGCTAATTTATGCTAATTTCCAATCTTGGTTGCTTTGGAGTTTTTGACCCCATATCCATATCACCATCTCCTGATTTCAATGATATAGGTTGATTTCCTCTACTCGCCATCATGTCTGGTCAGCCTATGAAGTCATCAAAATGGTCCCAGAGTATATCCCGAGACAATCTGTGTATTTGTTTTGGCTGAAGTCGCGCTAAATGCCTTAGTTTTGACCCATATCTCTTTCACTTTCCACTGGCAAGTGTGATGTCCAACCTGGTTGGCAAAAGTCAGAATGGTCTCGTTGCTATCTTCAAGGTGTATTTCCATATACTTTTCGTAGATCCAGTCTTGCATGTCCTCCTGTAATAACAATTTGGGTCACTCAGAGAAACTCACGGGGCCGACGGGGGTAACGAAAAATATCGAAAAACTAGTACCTACCCTCTGGTAAACTAACATAGCTATGGAAAACCACCATTTTTAATGGGTAAATCAGCTATAAATGGCCATTTTCAATAGCATTCGTGCGACTTTTTGATTCTGTATCTTTCTATGTCTTCTTGGTGCAGTGCTTAGGATGAAGCTTCTACTTCCCATATATTCGGACGGGGCTTGGGTGAGCTCTTGTCTGCGAATACAATCCAAAATCTCTGCCGCCACAAAAGCCTGGGATGGACCCATTGCAAGGTTGTACATAGAAGTTCTTGTCAAAATGGCTACCTCAAACATCTATGCTAAAAAACTACAGTGTTCATGTATATACTGTATATATATATATGTATTGTATAATATTATATATACGTTTTTTTCCGTGGAACGCTCTCCTTTCTTGATTCCCCACACTTAAGAAACACCAACTCTTGAACCCACCCCTGTCCTTGGAAGAAAACTCAAGAGATGGACCCTCAGATAGACATATCCAAGCAAATCTAAGAATTTTCGTGACCTTCTCAAACATCTTCCAACACGCTTGACCCTCGACGATGTCTTTTTGCGCACCTGTGCTGAGAAGGACGTGGATGCAGAATGCATGCCATGGGGGCAAAAATACAAAGCCCCTGATGCAAAACATGCATGCAACATGCATGCATACTGCATACTTTATTAAAGTATGCACCCGTGGGATGACATGCAATCCACGCTTTTGGCATCCTTTACTTGTTTCTTTCCATATGTAACGCAACATAGGAGGGTGTCCCGTAACATCCAAGTAGGGGTGGAAAAAAGAATCCAGAGCTCCCACCCATACGCAAGCAGGATCGCTCACTTTCTGCTTGAATTTCTGGAGGGTTGGGTCGTCAGCTTCAAATGGAGGTGGCATCCTGGTTTTGAACCACAACCATTTTAGATCGTTCAAAAAATGAGGTCCAAAAATGCAATTTCAAATAAGGAAAATAATGCTAAACCGTTGGATTGGAGGGATACCCCAGTTTTAGACAACAATCACCTTGAATTTGCTTCAGGGTCACCAAAATCTACACGCAACCCCCCTCGGTTCGCCCACACAACTTTTTAAGGGTTTCAAAGGATATTGATTCAAGGGATTCTTAAAGATGTTTCAAAAGAGCTTCTAAGAAATCATGAGATCTCCACCCACGTTAAAGCTTGTATCCAAGGGAATCTTAAAGATGTTTCAACAGAGTTTCTAGGGAATCATCAAATCCCCACCCCCGTTAAACTTTATATTCAAGAGAATTTGTTAGGGTTGATGATGTTGATGATGTTGTTGATGATGATGATGATAATTTAATAGGAATAATAATGCAACGCACAGGTTGCTAAGCTGTGCGTTGCAAGATGAAAGCCATGATTATGGACATGTGCATTGTGTCCCACAAAACACGGTGTTTCTTGATGTTCGGACACGTCGTGGATGTCGGCGCGGGCAAACAGAGGGGTTTGCCCGAAAATCTACGTTGAATCTACATCTCTTCCCCACCGCTGCATGAGTCGACTAGCGCCTCGCAGAGGACCACATCTCACATCACGCGTGGAAGGCCAAGGTGGTCGCAGGAAGGTCTCAGGAAGCGTCATCACCAGCAGCAGCAGCAGCAGGATGCTGCTGCGTCGACGAGGGGTCGGCCGGAGCATCGTTCGCAGCTGGAACGGACACAACTTCTTGTAATCTGAGATGATCCAAAAAAAAACATGGGCATGGGAAAATGTGCATCTCCGTAAGAGGTTCATATCCTTCCTACTTGATCTCCCTTTTCGGAAGCCCAGTGCCCTGGTTTCTCAAGTCCTGGGGGATCCCAAGCTATCATCCAATTCAGTCCAATTTTACATGAACTCAAGGGCTACACCAGCTCTTGAAAACATTAATATCATTACAGAATATTGTTGTTGGTGATATCATTTTGCTTACCTCCCCAGCTGTCGCAGTTTTTGGTCTATGATATCACCAGCGTTGCCTGTGATTAAAACGTCGCGGTTCCCTCATTTAATCATCCCTTACACCTAATCAAACTTCGCAGTGAAGAATCCTAATTCTCAGTAGGAAAATTGTCTCTCAATAGATATCGAATGGATATCAATGGATATTCAACAAATGTTCAATGGATAGACACTGATATGAATGGGTGGCTTCCCATTCCCAAATGATGTGTCCATGTCTTCTCCGACCCCATCGCTGTGCCAAGGTGGCGTTTGGAAGATCAAATTCTCCAAGATGTGAGCATCCTGAGAAGATCTGGGATCTGGAACCGAGCGACCACCAACAAATGAGCTATGAAAAAAACGTTTTCCCATCCTGTAAAATACTGGTCTGGTTGGTTAGCAAATATTCATGTATCATACTGTGCCCTTCTGGTAATGTCATATGGAAAATTTGCCCATATATAGACCACTTACCTCAAAATGGTGATTTTCCATGGTCAACTGTTCAATTGCCAGAGGGTCCCAAGGATGCTCCATGGACTCCATGAAGCATTTGGCCATAGATCCGTTTGTAACTGAGGATCACTGGGTGCAACCAGTTGGTTAAAAACTATGGATCACTGGGTGTTTCCTACAAACGGGGATCCCCAAAACCATGGGTTCAATACTAAGATATGTTCAGGTTTGGATGATTTGGGGTATCCCTAGTTTAGGAAACCTCCATATGCATTCGATATTTGGGCACTTCGTTCTGGAAAATCCATCTCTTAGTTCTGCATCTTGTCTCGAACCACTTATCTGGATAACCTGAACAGTTCGACCCTGGGGACGATTTCCCGTATCCAATTCCCCTCCTTCCAGTGACGTCGCCATGTGAGGTCGGAACAGATTTTATCGAGACTTATCACAGCTGATCCAGCGAATTTAGAATGTATATAATATAATTATATAATTTATCAATCTTTTATACCATTTTTTAATATACATATATATATATATATATATATACGTACATACAATTAATCCATTTGAACAGACTTACACAACATTTGTCAATCAACGTCTGTCTGTCAATCTCCTGTCCAACATCTTGTGATCCTGGGACACCAAGCTTCTTGGATGTGCATCCCAGTTGCATGTGGGAGATATTTTGTGTCTCATGACACAGTTGTACACAAATTCAAAGTCCCCAGTTGGCAACATAAGATAAATTATCTATATCTAAATACATATAATTTATATAATATAGTAATAATCTTGTATTGTATGTATGTATACATGATTATATATGTACATACTACGCTGAATATTGTTTCTTGGGGATCTTGACCCACTTACCAACAGGGATGCACACGGTAATCAAACTGGATGGGAAATCTCCCATACATGGGCATCAGTATATGGGAAAGCATCGAACTTTCCATTGCCATGTTTGATGAGGGTATCGATTGAAACTTTTTGGGAATGGAAGTGTGTATCATACAAGTCATCAGATACCTCTGGTGAAATTCAACATAGGATTCGTTCAAAAGCTGTTCATGAGTGAAGAATCATATGCCAACCAGTCAACTGAAATCAAAGACTAACAGGATCTTAGAAAAGAACAAGCCTGGAGAACACGAGAGACATCCGACAAACAGCTATGATCCGTTGACTCATCTAAACTCATAACTGTCATAACATCAACAACCCTGATCCATTTTTCATATGTGGAAACTCAACCGATCTGACATATTTTCGGGCAGGTTCATCATCCCAAAGATTTTCGCGAAAATAGAAACTATCTGAAGATCTGAAGCCACCAGGATTTATCGCGTCATTGTTTTTTCCAAGTAAGTCCATTCTTTCTGAAATAGTTCCCATATATTGGTTGGTCAACTCCCCACTACAACATGTGAAGGTTTCCTGAAATGGTAGTACCCCCAGTCATTTCATTGTAAACCATCCAGCTATTGGGGATCCTTGATTTTAGGAAATCTCCGATTTTTAACAACCAACCAGATTTTTCGCCATGACTCCGTGGGCATGTTGGGGTTGGGCCGCCAGGTGTCATGTCTCGTGGCGTTCAAAATCTGGGCGGTGCGAACGACTTCGCAGAGCCGAGGGTGTTCAATGGAGCCACGCAACAATGGAGATAGATAGATAGATAGATGGATCGATAGATAGATCGATTGGATAGATTAGCCTAAAACTCCACCTGAGATCTTCTGAGATTGAAAAAAGGGGTTGCTTCTGAGCACTGGTGGATATCATCCAAAGTTGGGATCAACGATGAGAGCGGCTGGCCAAAAAGCCAACCCATTTCTTGTGCATGTTGCCAATTCGAAAAAACAACACGTGAATGAACAGAAATCTTGAAAATTGAAGTAATATTGGTAAAGCAATAGGATCCACCATTCCCCTAAACTTACCATTCTTATGGGTGGGATTGAAACCATCAAAATATGATATGGTTGCTTTATGTTGCTTTACCAATATTACTTAAGGGTCTCAGTTTGGACCGATCCACCTTATGGATCTTCAGAATTATCATGGTTCAATCCCCCATGAGCAGGTACAAATACCTTGGACACCTGCAAATGATGGGGAAAACATCATCGAACTACCATCCTGGAAATATGGTTCTATCTTTTTATGGGTTACAGTTACTGAATAATATACTACAAAACGTTCACAAATGGGTTGTTCATCCTGGTTTGTCGGTGCATCGCTCCCAAGACATTGATAATCAGAACTCAGCATAGTTTAACCACACGACGGTCCACACCATGATATAAGAAGAAGCTTATTACTGGTTGGTGGTTTTAGACCATCTTGAAAAATATTAGTCAATGGGAAGGATTATCCATATTATCCCATATATTATGGAAAATAAAAAATGTTCCAAACCACCAACCAGATTAGTATCATGGGAACATTATCATCAAAAATCAACATATCACATCACTAGCAGGAAATAGTAGGAACCAGGGTCGACCAAATGCCAAAAGGATGCATATTTCCTGGTCAAATGGTTGTCACACGAATTCTCCAGTTGCTCCCGCAGTCGTTAGGAAAACGCGTTTATAAACAACAAATTCATTTTCCGTCAACATTTCTATGCCAAAACTATGGCAATATGATCTGTGAATGATATGTGCAATCAACCATACATTCAGAAAAAAAACATGCAATTTCTTGCAGGGCAAGAACGGCGATATTTGCGTATCGGTTCCAATTCAAGAACTCCCAATTGACAGAATATGTCAGAGTCCTTAAATCGAAATTGTGACTCCAAATTTGACCCACATCCGAATGGGTGAAAACCCACAAAAAATCTGAAGTCCATGTCCCGAAACCTCGGCACGACACAACAAAAACCCTTGTTTTTGTGGGAAACCCAATGATAGACCTACGATTTGGAGATGGTTTATAGAACGCATTTATGGTGGTTTTGGGGGAGGGTCTGTTATTGTGTCTACCCTATTATACAATAGAAATTCATGGGATGTTCGTGGGATTTAGTTTCTGGTTATTTAACATAGTTTTGGGTTGTTTCCATATATGAATGATTTACTGTACCTGTGTTTAACACATCATGTTCGTGTTTGTTTTTGCAATTTCCTCCCCAAAATCACCGCCATGGCACCCCTCGTTGCCGCCAATCTCTCAAGCGTTCCAGCACATATTGTCGCACCGTTGGGCCGTAGAGCGGGTGTACCTTGGGATTTTTTGGGGGTAACTTACCAGGATAAAAATTGATAGACGTGTAGGGAGTATTGAGGGATAAGGCGAGGCCCCCAAACGTCATGTCCGTTGGTTTAATGATGATTAATGATGATTAATGATGATTAATGAAGATTAATGAAGATTTAAACATTCCAAAACCATTATTAACTAGTTAGTTTGTTTTTATGTACGCATAAACACAAACGCTAACCAAGTTGTGTGAATCGTTTGGGGGCCTCCCTGGTAAGGAATATCGGGGATAACCATCACAAGAAATTGTGCGATAAACATGGACACAGCATTCACGAAAACAGTATATCCAACCCGGCCAAATTCGCGATTGAACCATCAAGAAAAGACCGACACACGATAGATTTGTGTTTAGCCAAAAATAATGAATCTATAGACCGCCCAATGTATGGCATGTTCAACGCAAACGTGCGGTATGTACTTCATGGCAAACTATTCGGTGGAACAAGGTACTCCATGCCCACACAGCCCATTACAATCTTAAAGTCGGTGAAAAACACTCAGCGCTTGCATTATATCATTTTATCTACAAGTCATGGATACTGGAGATGGTGAGATGTTGGGCGCCAAACAACTCAAGTGTGAATGTTTGCAGACAGGGAAAATATCAATGTTCACACCATCTGGCCTTGCCCATGTGAATTTATGTTTGGAACCATTCCCCAAAAAAAAGACGCTACGTAGTCAATCGGTTCTTTCGGGCCACCCATGGGGAACTGGATCCATGCATCAACCTCTGAAATTCATACATATGTTCCCAAACAATTTTGTCATGGTCGCAACACATAGGCGCCGCCCAGACCACTACAGCACTGGGGTCGGAGCCAGGAATTTCTCCAACTGCTGCCGCCTTTGCCAGAGTTGGTTCGCCTGTCACAAAATTTACCCCAATCTTCCCGACAAAGATTTTAAGCACCTCGGAGCCTCGAGGCCCTGAAAACCGCGCGGAGTCTGCTTGGCAAGGAGCCGGGTAAGCCCTCCAGAGCAAGCTCCGGGCGTTGGGCTGTAAGCGCCACACCATCCCAACCATGTGAGCTGGCCGCTTGCTAGGGATTAGGATGGGTCAAGTTCTAGGCTGTGTGATGCCTTTGTCACGTTTTTTGTTGATTTTCTGAAAAATGACGTTTATAATTATAGATGTTAACGCTTTGCACTGCACAACATCCAGCCTGTCCATTTGAAAGACCTTTTTGAAATGTGTCCGTCTTGGTTTGCAGCGGACAGTGCAGCGTGACAATGCAGCTTTCGGACAGGCACCGTGTTAGTGAAAGAATGCCATGCACTGAACTGCGACGGAGACATTCTATCACCATCACACTCAAAGATGTCCAGGCCACAGCCCGGTGAACCCGAAATGGAACCATACGCTGTGTTCATCAATCCTACAATGTGAGGCCCCCGGCCACGATAGCATTCAGTTGGTGCAAATAACTCCAATAACTATGGTTTATGGCACTTATAACTATAGTTACTGGGGCGAATCTAAACCAACAAACATCACTGGGGGGGGCACATTGTACCTTTTACAAGGTCAACAAAAAGACACAAATTTTGCTCACAAATGCGATTAACGCTGTACCTTACAATCTGCTTTCTGTCCAACAAAAGGCCGTTTCTGTACAATAGAATGTGTTCCTCCATTTTGTCGCTAAAGGTGCATCAATCAAAATATACTCGCCAGCTGGTTTTCCACGCGGGCATTTTCATCATATTTTTTGCCATGATGTGAATTTAAAGTTTCAATTACATATCTCATATCTCATATATCATATATCATATATATATATTGTGTATTTTTCCATGGTTCACTTGTTTAGCTTGTCAACTCCTTGGGGTCATCAGCGCCTCGCTACAACAGGTATACCCACCTTCTGACTGCTGTGTGTGAGATGTTCCGCAAGAAAAGTGCAGCCTTTTGGATCCTTTGGGTTCTTCAGATTCGGAGTGCGCAACCAGTTGAAACAAATTGTGGGGTGCCAAAATCACGTGCGTGATTTGGCCTTGGGATTCAAGCATTTTGCACCTTCTGGGCCCAAAATCAAACATACTCCAACCATTCCTGTCACATATTCGTCTTCAGAATCCTGATACCTGGTGATTTGACTATGGAAAATCACCTATCATAGGTGCCCTCCAATAATCAGACCTGGTTGGCTCGAAGATCCACCATTTATTTCGATGATCCAGCTATAAGACTCCATCTATATAGGGGATTTCCAGTGATTACTTCCATGGCTGCCATAGCTATGGTTAGCTATGCGTGCCAAAATCATGTCGGGCACCTTTTTTGTGGGCGAAGCTTAGACAACCAACGAATAACATGTCCACATTTTAGCCAGACGGTATATTCTGAAAATTTCATGTTTTTCTTTTTTTCTGCTATGGAGTATACCCTCAATTATAGCAATTTAGTATAGGGAAAATGATGATTGACCAATGGATAATAAGGGTTAAACAACACATATTTTCAGACAAGACATTCGCCAGCCAGCTGGATACCAGCTGGCTGGGTCATGCAAATGCTGATTCTTCGGCCCATCTCATCTGCATCATCCTTGGATTCCCATTGAAACCATCAAACCATCCCATTTTGGCACATTCCTCGGTTTTCGAACACCGAAACACCGAGAAAAATGAACCCATTCCCCATAGATTACTCCATTCAATGCTGGGAAAAAATGTTTCAGAAGAATCACTGTCAGCAATTTCTGGGTCTGAAATGGGGTGTACCAGGTAAACCCTCTAATGTGGCTAAAACAATGTGGTAAACCATCCCCCAGTCATCAGCATTTTTATAGGTGGTATGGTTGCCATTCAGTCACGGGAAGTTTATGACACTGTTTGACCCACATTAATCATCATTAATCATCACTAGTCATCCATTATTAAGCATTATTAACCATCATTAAGCATTATTAACCATCATTAACCATCATTTTTTATGGAGGATTATGCTCAGCTCATCAAATATCATCAAAATCATGGACCTGCGGATCATCGCAGAAAGGCTTCGGCAAATTTCGCTCAAAGACGGAGATTTCCTGCGTGCTCCCCTGCGCGCGGAGGTAATTGGGTGACCGTTCAGTAACCACATTGATATAGCAAGTATAATAAACAAACAGAACCAACATCATATACATATTATATATAGATAAATTAAATTAAATTATATTATATTATTTTATATTAAATTATATTATCTATATTATATATTATATTATATTATGTTATATTATAGTATATTATGTTATATTATATATATATTATATATATATATATTATATATATATATATTATAAATATATATATATATATATTACATTATATATTAAATATATTATATATGTTATATATTATATATATATATTATATATATATATTATATATAATATATTATATATATATTATATATATATTATATATTATATATATATTATTAAAGATAATATATATATATTATATATTATATATTATATATTATATATTATATATATTATATATATTATATATATTATATATATTATATATTATATATATTATATATTATATATATTATATGTTATATTACATATATTATATTTTATATATTATATATATTATAGAAATTAAATATTATATATATTATATTTATTATATACATTATATATATTATATCTATTATATCTATTATATCTATTATATCTATTATATATATTATATATATTATATATATTATATATATTATATACATTATATATATATTATATATATTATATATATTATATATATTATATCTATTATATCTATTATATCTATTATATCTATTATATCTATTATATATATTATATATATTATATATATTATATATATTATATATATTATATATATTATATATATTATATATATTATATATATTATATATATTATATATATTATATATATTATATATATTATATATATTATATATAATATATATAATATATATAATATATATAATATATATTATATATTATATTATATATATTATATATATTATATTATATATATATTATATTTATATATTATAATGACACATAGATTTAATTGCTATACCCGTATGCTCCATGTATGACAGATTTACCTACATGTTGGTGATTTTGTTGGGGTAAATGTTGGCACATATTTCATACATAGAGCATTAGGGATACCCCATGTGCTCCATGGTGCTGATATATACTCATCCTGCTGACTTGGAAATGGTGCCCCAAGTGCTTCGGCACCTTCCCAAATCCCAAAACTATATGGTTATCTTAGCCAAAAATCATTTGAAAACGACCAGAGAGTCTTGATTTTTTTCAGAATTATATAGATTTATATAGATCTATGATATTTTATGATTGAACATTCGCATCACTTCAGATGATATTTGGTTCACTTCATGCTGAGATCCAGGGGATGAAGCGAATCCAGAATGACTCTCGATATTCTCGAAGCATCACCAAGCCCTGTGGTTCTACCACCAGAGGAACATGACAAGCTATCATTATCCATCATTGTACATAGGTCTTGGTGTCCTTTGGTTGATTACGACGTAAATGACCAAGATCTGTGGGCACCTAATCATTTGAATTCTGACTCAAACCCAAATCCAGATAGTTCGTGGATCTATGGATTGGTTTTATTTTGCAACTCCCAAAGAACAAACATTGACAAGAACAAACGGGGACTCAATGCTTCAAAACGAAAAAGCGAACTTGGCAAGATACTGTAAGCGACCTGTTTCTGAAAGACTCTCCGTAAAAATCATTGTAAACCATGGAAAACCAAGGCAACCCGCCCAAAAAATGGCGAATATGATGATACTGGTGGTACTGGTGATACGCCATCAACTTTGGCATTGCGTCATTTTCAGAAACCCACAGCATGTTCAAAGATGTTTCACTTTGAAGGCCGTGCGCAGTCACCCCGAGTCAAACAGCAAACCTAGTAACAACATGTAACAACATGTAACAACCCTCACAGCAATGCAATGCCGTTGACTTGGTAAAAACATGTAAAAACTGGGTGCGTTCCCTGCATCCAAACAAAAAAAAACGTTTTTTGTCGATTGGGCTTCATCATCCCAAGCTGGACACATGCTCTTACAATCTGGTTATTTAACATAGCCATGGAAAATCCCTTATAAATGGAGGTTTTACTGGGAAAATCATCTATAAATGGGCAATTTTCCATGGCTATGTCTATGTTAAATAACCAGAGGGTATGTTTTCCAAACATATCCAACAAAACGATATGTTTATATGAAAACCATCCCCAAGACCTACCTTTCTATACCAAACTAATTATGGATCTATATATATATAGTCATCCTGGAGTAGACAGGGAAATGTCAACAAATCCCCACTAAGATGGGAAGCTATCTTTATTAATCCATAAACATCTATCTACTTCAGGATGATTATAAGTTACCCTCTGGTAAATTAACATAGATGTGGAAAATTAGCCATGTATAGAAGTTTACCATGATTCACCTACAGAAAATGGTGATTTTCCACGTCTATGTGTGTTTCCGGGAGGGTAGAATCCCATTAATCACTATTAATTATGATTAGAATCAATGGTAACAACTATTCACTATGATTAACCATTATTAACCATTATTAATCATTGTTCTCATTATTACTGGTGAATTATGGTTAACCACAATTAACCATGATTAATCACCACAATTCACCATGATTTTCACCATTATTCTACAGCAACTATATTATTAACCATTATAAAAACCACTATTAACAACTATTTATTAACCACTATTCAAGTAACTATTCACTATGATTAACCATGATTAACCATGATATTTTCACCATTCTACGGCATATATCTACCTTCAAAAGCCCTTAAGCAGACATACCTCGTAAGCTGGGCTTCCCAACGCCCAGGCCGTAAGCTGTTCGACCTGGAGCCACTGGCGCTGGCGTTGTTAGTGGTGATGAATGTGTAACATATGATTTAACAACTATATGGTTGGTCATGAATAACCAACATGGTTAAACATATATAAAACATATATATATATTCATGTATTATATGTATATGTATATGTATATATATAATTTATATATATATATATATACATCATCTACATAACATATCACCACATACTTATCTAACAAGATAGTGATTGTCCATATGTTAGCCAGTGGTAATTCATGGTCCGTTTAGTTTAATGGTGATTCTCCACATGTTAAATTACCAGTGGCTGTTAATTAAAATGACGTTCTCCATGAGATTTTCGCCACAGTTTTAAGGCAAACCCAAGCAGTTGTACGAGTTGTGGCTCATACCAAGGTATCCTACTGTGGATGGTTGCGAAACCACCAGTTGATAGGTGTTTTATCTATGTTTGTCCCATTCTTGGGTTTCAACCCCCATTCTTGGGTTTCAACCATCCTTTTGGTGGTGCAGGATTTAGCATCCACAGTATGTTCCCAAGATCAATGCAAATCTCATTAGGATCACTGGAATCAGAAACAATTTTTCTCTAGACCAGCATCTTTCATGGGAATGTCATCACGACCAGGAACCTTTGCTTACCCAAATATAACCAATCAGTTAGCACTTGGCCTAGCTGGTCTCAACTATGATGTTAGGACAAGAGACCTGCCTGTGCTTTCCTTGACGCTCATCTTGGTGACCGTTACCTGGTTGTTACATAGCTATGGAAGCCAATGTTTGCTCAACCTTCGATGATTTGATTAATGATTTGTGTTCTCAAAGATGGTGTAAGTTTCGACTATGAAATACTAGTGCACACAAAATTTGAGATATCCAATAAAGATATACATGATTATACATGTACAAATACCCAGTTCATCCCAGTTCCATGTTGCTGTCAGACAGTCACAAATCAGCATCGATTCAACTGGGTTACTCCCAACATAAGCCGTAGGTATAACCCCCTCCTACTCCCAACACCCTAGACACAACGAGGAATACTGGGTAGTAGAGAGGTGAAACCACGTTTTTTTCCTCCCCTGTGGCGGTCAGAAAAACCTTCAATGGGTGGGAGCAGCCCTGTCTACCGAATAGCAAAGTTGCAATGGTTTTTACTAGTTCGAAACAGAGGAATGGCTCCCCGAGTTATAAGCAGGTTCATTTATACAATTCACTATAGAATATATATATATTTATACAGCTTGAGTATTGAGTATTATATAAGAATGCACTGTATAAGAATTTGAGAGGCTCTGTGCCTCAAACTTTCGGATTTTTAACCAACTCTCTGGCTGTATGATTCGTACATATAAAACCAAAAGATATATCTAGCGTTATCCATCATAATTCCAATTTAGCCTACAGTAGTTACGTTTACCAATGTTTTACGCTCTACCCCACTGCCCGGCCCGGCTTCCCTTCTGCCACCTGTTTGAGGCAATTCGGTGCTCAGGCGCCAACCTGCACGGAACATCCAACTGGTCCAGAACCAAAAATAGTGTACCCCTACACCCAATGGTTTTGCTGATCATTATCCCTACTAAATGGCTATAATTGGGAGTATACCTCATTTTCAGACATACCCATGTGATTTCATGTGGTGCCATAAACTATCCATAACTATCCTCAATGACTTAGCATGACTTAGCAGTTCACCGTGGTCATTGTTTCTGGGGCCTTTTTTTCCACACCGAAATCTGGAAATCCACCAGCTGATGACAGAGGCTAAATCCCACTAAAAAACAATTCATCACCATTGAAACCATGAATTAACCATTGATTGACCATTTAAACACAAATCACCATTAATCACCGTTAATCACCATTAATCACCATTAATCACCATCATTAACCACTGTTAATTAACCAGTATTAACCATTATTGACCAATTAATTAACCATTGTTAGCCATTGTATCACAATGTCGCCATTCGCGGGATGATTCCCTTCTCAACTCCGAAAAGGAGGTCTCAAAATTCTCAAAATATTCACCTTGGTGTGATTACCATCACTTAAAGAGTAAATGCTGTAAATGTTGATTCACACAAACTAGTAAATGATGGTGTTTGTCATTTACAGTAAATGATGAAAGTTGCATTATATCATTACACTAAGTATACTGCGAAGTGTATTGAAACATATTGAAACGGCTGTTCTATTATGTTAAATGCCATCATTTCAGAGAATTGCAAGCCAGTCATGATAGTTATGACTGGTAGGTGCCCGTTGTTTGAAGGATGCAAGATTTAGACGAAAGATGTGATTGGATGGTGGCCGACCTGTGAACGCCTCATTTCTTTCCCATGCTTTCCATCTTACCCGCCCCAAAAACGAAAGAGTTCGCTGCTCTTACACCCAAACATAACTTTGTCCTGCGCTTGTCTTAAAAATAGAAGGGATGTACAAAACAAATCGGGAAGAAAGTTGCCCTATTGTTCCATTATCATCCCATCATTATACCATACGCATAATAAATATATATATGTATGCATGTATGTGTATATATATATATATCATATATATATATCATATATCATCCTCATTGTGACTCATTTTTCCCCATTCAGCCGTTGCCACAACCGTGGCTACCTCTGGGACCTAACGCTTGATGCCACATCTGGTCCTGGAGTCAGAACTCGGATCAGGGATCTGGATGATAGACATCCTGCACCGGTTGATAGCTGGTTTCAACATGTTTCAACCATCCGTTGGGTGGTGCAGGATTTCGCAACCATCCACAGTATCTAGATATATAATGATAAATGTATATATATCATATATTATATATATATATATATTATATACAACTATACCATGTATCAACCATGAAATGGATGATCATGAAATGGATTGGTAGGAGGGAACACGTACAGGAAACCGCGGCTACTGTGTAGAACATGAGTTTGCGATGATATCCCAAAATCAAGATGGATCAAAGCACCCGCTGGCTTACCATCCAGTCAAAGTTCAGCTTCCCAGCCACATTTGATGACACCGGAAGGTTTTCATATCTTCACTGTGGATGGTTGCTGCTATTGAACCCATCATTCTCTGCTTTGGTTGTGAGAAGGTCGCTACTATGCCCGCTAGCTGAAATTTCAGGAAATAGCTGCTGTTAGTAGATGTTAGGTTTGTAACGAGTACAGGCTGAGGCCACAAAAAAGTGATGTTTGTTGGTTTATAAACATGAATATAGACTATAGACATATCATATATCCATAAACTAGATATAATTATAGATATATCTACCATAAACCATTGAATTCACTTGGTTTTTTGATGTTCTTTGCACCAACTGTAGTGATAAAAAGCTTTGCTTTGGAGCCCAGTCCAACCGAAAAGACGTCTGAGCTTCAAGAAAAGCACCGGATCCTTCAAGATTTGCTGTTCATCATCTGAGTGCATATAGAATATATATATATACATATAATGTGGTAAATCATAATATTTCACTAATTTAGGTGAGAGTTGACTAATTTAGTATTTCACTAATATAATAGTTCACTAATATAATAGTTCACTGATTATAATATGTCACTAAGTCAAGTAACTGTATATTTCTGGGTAACATTATAATATAATATAATATAATGTAATATAATATAATACAATGTAATATAATATAGTATAATGTAAAAAAAAATATAATATAATACACCCCGTATATATGTCTAGATTGGGGATGATTCCCCTTATTAATCATGATTCCAGTGAGGTCGCAGTGAGGTCGTTGTAATTTACCCAGATGTATATAATATAATGTGGTGAAAACAAGCATAAACCACCCCGTTTTTGATGGTTTATACCACCCATAAAAATGGTGAATTTGGGAATGGTTTATGACATTGTTTTAACCACATTATATCTATATGTATCAATATGGATGGAATATACCATTTTAGTGATGATGTTTGAAATGTCCAGATTCATTCATACTCTATCTACTCCAGACTATAGATACACATCTGGAGACGACGTTCTTGACCAATCTCCCCTGGGTTTTCAACCACCAGACCAAAATCTATCCGTTGTTGCTGAATTTCCCATGAGGTCTGCAAAATACCTGGGACACCCCAACGCTCTGTTCCAACTGCTGCAATGCTTGGCTTATGACCTGCCGCTGCTAAGCTCGAAAATGGGGGTTTATGGTCCTGTGTGACTTTGGTGGATTGAACCGAGAACCACTGGCAATATAAGGATATATATATATATATATATACATATGTGTGTATAATCATATATAATATACATATATATATATATATGTGTGTGGAGTATACCCCCACCCATATTTCTAGCCACAAAATGTGATCATCGCGTGTTGTGCAGTCTTAATTGTAGGGGCCAACTATTGACATTGACAGGTGTCAGCCACATTCAGTGAGTTCATTCCGAAGAAAAGGAATCCCAGGCCCGGAAAAAACGAAAGGGGATCTCTGTGAAGCGTCAATGATGCTAGTCTTACTGGTGCTTAGCAGGGAATGGATGGGACTGGGGGAATGGGATGATTATTACTAGTGATTATGGATCATTCCTTCATTCCCTACTAAGCACCAGTAAGTAGTAACCTCACTAGTAAATCTAGTAACCCATGATAGAAAGACTCATCTACATCTACTTGTCTTTTTGGAGGGTGCTACAATCATATTCGGTACCCAGGCGTGTCGCTTGCGTTTCACCCATCTCAACAATCTGCGCAAGATGGTGCCACATAGTTCGCTATGATTGAGCTTATAAGTAGGTTATATCAGTGGGATACAGTAGACATATCCATTGGGCGTTATGAACCAAGAAACATAACTGGGGCAGCTCGAAAAAAAACACAACTAGACATGCCATCTGCAGAAATCACGGGAAAAATCACCTTATTGTGGTAGGTTTAAGGCTCACGTTGAAGCCTTTTTTTGTGGTTGTATAAAAACGTAGCTTGGCTCATGAATCTCCCATGTTTGGTTGATGGTCATAGTGAAGCTTCCTACTACACTGGGGTACCCCAAGTGTCACCCAAAATCACACAGAATTAAAACCACCATCCACCAACCAAATGTTCATGTAATATAAACTATCATCGCATGATGTGGAATCCTATGGTTTGCAAGTAAGACGTCAGTTTGTATTGGTTTAAATGATTGAAACAAAAAGGTGTCTGAATTATTCGATTCATTCATCAACACGAATGATAAATCACATATCAGCTTCGTCAATGGTCCAAGAAAAACTATCGATCAAAATTGTTCACCAACCTGAAATCAGGTGATTTTGGAATGGTTGACCCTACTAACCATCATCTACAGTGACATCGCAACGTCACTTTCGGAAGCTGCTTCCGCCTTGCTGGTTTCCACTGGTCCAACCTATAGTTATCTTCCGGTTTCATCATAACTGGAAAATCCACCTTCATAGCTGGGGCTTTCCATGGTCTGTTCGGGGATGGTCCAATAGCTGGATGGTTTATTTATGTTTATTTCCATGGGAAAAAACCAATCTAAAAAAATAGATGATTCCACCATTGAGTTCCATCATAGTGGATTCATCCATTGAATTCCACCATGGAAAAGTGGATGACTGGTAGCCCCATGACTAACCTCCGACTCCACCATAAAAAAACGTGGGACTTTCATCAGCTCACGGAGCTGACATTGGATGGTCATTCACAAACCAAGGATTCCTGGTGTACCAAAATCCAACAAAATCCCCAAGCACATCAGAGATGTTCACATACTTCACCCATACTTCACCCATGTGAATCGGGAAAAGCATGGAAAAGCCGTGTTAAACCACCATTTCCCCAGGTGTTTTTTGCCTCCTGATCGAGTGCAGCAGCAATGGCTGGAGCCCACTGCTGCCTGGCAGCATTTCTGGATTATGACAGACGCCAATGGTGGCTTTTTTGAGCTTTACTTGACTATAGTCTATATGTTACTATAGGTTTTTTCCGGTTTAAACCTCCATTGTTTTTTCTATGTTTTGTTTTGTGGCGGGGTTAAACTCCGTTTTTTCTCAAAAAAAACCGATGGATCTTGAGAATTTTGCTGTGACAGTCGAGAAGTCGAGAAGTCGCGAAGTCGGCTTTCCAAAGACCAAAACGGGGAGACTTGATGAAGAAACTATAGGAAGCAAAATAAAAAGAAGTGGGGATTTCAGCATAGAAACCTGGCATGATAGGAATTTAGGCAGCAAATATGGGTTACTCCAAAATTCTTATGGAATGTGGGCCAGCAAATTATGAGAATCTCAGTAAAAAGATGGAAAAGCCGAATGTCAAACATGAAGCACCACCTGCTCAGTTATCACTACCCCTCACGCAATAAAGGTTCAAGTACAATGCATGGAACCATGGTTGGAAATCACAACCCTGCGATATGCAATTCCTCGGAAAGACAAGAGTTGAGCATCAAAAACCTCTTGGTTGATATCATTTTATATCCCTGAGGAGGGTTAATCTGGATTCCCATTTCACAGACCATGATCGAATCCCCAAAAAATTCAAGGCTAATAGGTACAATAACCGTTTGGATCCACCTCCAGGGCTGAGTTGTTATACTGCTCAGCTGAGCGTGAGTCAAAGCGGTAAAAAATGGCCTTGCTTCTACCCTCTGGTAAACGTTTACATAACTATGGAAAATCACCATGTTTACTAGGAAAATCAACTATAAGTGGCAATGTTCAACAGCTATGTTAGATTACCAGAGGGTAGGTCTGAACATCATTGAACATCCCATTTTTTGAAATATCCTGTTTACCATCCGGTAATTAAACATGGCAATGGAAAATTCCCCAGCTATAGCTGATTTCCCCAAAAACTACAAACCTCCATTTATGGGGGTGTCCAATTGCCACATTTTATTACCGGATGGTAATTCATTTCAGTGGGAACACCAGTTCTACATTGCAAGATTCTCCAGTCTCAGATGTCGGGATCTTCAGCACTATAAACGCATCCGAAGGATTACAGTGATTACAGACTCGTTGCTGACCTACTTCTTACTAGAAATACGAGTTCTTCTTAATTACCCTCTGGTAAACGTTTACATCACTATGGAAAATCACCATTTTTAATGGGAAAGTCCACTATAACTGGCCATTTTCAATAGCCATGTTAAATTACCAGAGGGTAATCTTGTTGCATACCCACATCCCGATGGGATTTTCTCGTGAATATCGACCAACCTGTTCTGTGGATCACCCCCTGGGGGTTTGGTTTTCAGCGCCAACATGCCACGACCGGACAGCTGTTCACCAAAGGTGGCATAGGTCTCTTGCACCTGACAGAAGGGTAGTTGACTCGTTGACCAAAACGAGTCAATGGCCAAAGATGAGGATATTCCTATTGGACCTTCGGCAAAAAGAATGTGAATCCCAACATCATCAGGTCAATATGATTGACAAAATCCAACAAAGATATCGTAGTCTCTAGCGATACAATAATATATCTACCAACTAATAATCAAACGTGACAGCGGCGAGGTGGCTGAAAATGGGCGGGCTGTATATACCCCATGATCCCCAGAAAACCAATTAATTGAAAAAACCATGGCCAAAGCTTTCTGAAACCCTGCAGAAAAATTGAACTCTTAGATCTCTTAGATCTCTTAGTTGGTTAGGTGAAGTATGGGTAAGTTGGTCTCATAAAACTCGCAAACAACGTCAAAGTAGTACTAGTGACAACTCGACGTTTTAAGGTTGACTCCCAATCTTCTGTTGGTGTCTGTCTGATTGGGCGTAGCGTCAATTTATGGCCATCATTTATGATAGGGGACATTATTTCAATAACCAGTGAACTTAAATGAATTTAGGCAAGTTTTTCCCAGATTGTCAGGTTGAAAGCGGGGCGCACAGCCCCAAGATGCAGCAAGCAGCTTGTTTTCCTATCACGCTGATGCTTGAGCCAAAGTCATGGCCATAAGTTTAAATGAATTCTCATGTACAACATGTTAGCCTATACATGGCAGGTGGTGACTGGAATAGGGTCTGTTTCCTGACACCCCTCCACAGCTGAATCACGTAGTGATTTGGCTGACTTCGATGATACCGTACACCGCCTCCAAGTATAGCCACTAGGTCATCTTGTGGTTCTCTCGCTCCGGCTTTTGGTTTTGGTTTTGCTTTTGGATTCTGTCTTTGTTCCCCTCCATGCCCTGATACTGGCATGGATGTTGAAGAACTTGCGGTGCTCTGCGCAGTGGATGTCTGCGTAGTTCTGTTGTCTGCCCTGATCTCATCTGTTTGAATCATCTTCTCGCAGACTTCTTCTTTCATGAACCTTCTTCTCATGGCTGAAAACAGCCCGTATAGTGCAAGGATGTGGACCACAAACATATAGAGCACAAAGCTAAAGATGCTTGAGTCCTTCTCTTCATCCTCTGGCTGTGCTGCTGCGCAGTTCATCATACACAGCAGGCATGCTACAACAATGCCTCTCCTGCAGAGTGGCATAATTTGAACCAGTTCGCTGATTCTTGGGCCTGTTAGAGACTTCGTGCCCAAATCAGCCCAGTTCGTTGTTGTGCTTTCTTTCCGCACAGCTAGTTCTCTTGCACGGACTTTCTCTTGCAACCATAACTCACGGATGCTAAGGTGTTTGACCTTTCCTGTGCCCGAACGTTGGGCGATGCCTTTCGCTGCTGTCGAGTCGGTCAGCATGACCTGTTTGACTCGATTGAACCCTACACATTGTAAGATGTGCTTGGTCAGCAGTCCGATTGCAGCTCCTCTTGTCAAGGAGTAGTACTCTGCTTCTCCTGACGAAAGTGCTACTGTTGACTGTTTGGCGCATCCACTGTCTAGCAGATGCTCACCAAATCGCTCCATGTGGCAGGACATTGATCTGCGCGTGACTGCATCTGATGCCCAATCAGAATCTGTGTACACCTGGAACTCTTCAGGTTCTTCTTGTAAGGCGAAAAGCCAAGTCTCCGTCGGAAACTTCAACAAGTAGCGACCAAGTCTTTTGAGTCGCAACATGTGGATTTCACACGGCTTTGCCATTCCGGCAGTGATTTCTGACAACGCGTACTGGATAGAAGGTCTATCCAAGCTCAAGTAAAGAGCTGTCCCTGCAAGATGTCTGAATCTTGAGGCTTCCGCTGCGTCTAGCGGCTTGTCGCTGGTTCTGCAGCCAGCACCTGTCAGTTTTGAGCTCGGAGTGTCAACTCCTTTTGCTCCTTCCAGCCCAAGCTCTTTTGTCAAAAGCTTGACGTATTTGCGATCTGCTTCCCAAGTGAACCCTTCTTTTGTCCACCTGATTGCTCTGCGCAGATGGTCTCCTTCCAGGCACTGACCTCCGTGCTCAGGATTGCCGATTCGCGGCAACACTTTGATTTCAAAATGTTGCAGCATGAACTCATCCAATTTGTCGAGATCTTCCGCTCGGCCTTCGGCCAGAAAGTCGTCCCCATGACAACTCATTGTGACTTGCCACTCCTTGTGATAAAACACTCCGGGGACTCCTGGCACATTGCTGAATCCGCCTTTCCTGGTCACAGTTCCGTCTACAAACTCGGACCATTGGCGACTCGCTTCGCGAGTTCCATTCATTGCCTTGTTGAGATACCATAGGTGTCTTTGATCGTTGAGATCATCCGGCGGTACCACGGCGATTTTGCCGGTGGATGTGGCATGGAAGAATGCCACACTGACGTCGTAACGTCCGATCAGCTTGTCGTGCTGATGTTGTCCTTTGCGTTTGGTTGCCGCACAGGACAAAATCATCCTGTGAGCTTTCAGCGGTGGGGTTCCAGAGTGTACGTCCTCTCTAGGACCTGTGTTCACCTCTTGGGCTACACATCTGGACCTCACACCTCTTGGATCTCCGTCGATGGTTTTCCATCCGTCGACCCAGCGACTACGGACTATCTTCAATCCCCTTCGTCTGGCCTCCTCACACGTAATGTCAGTTTTGACGTTGTGCTCGATCATCTTGTCTAGCTCTCTGCCCCTAGCGGTCTTGACCTTTTCAAGAGGCAGCGCTCCGCCTGATCTCTCGTCGAAAGCTGATGTCACATTTCCCCACTCTGGGTATCCGGCGAGGAGGGAATCCTCAAAAATTGCTGCGAGTGGCACGTCATGGAGTGTAGGCAAAGTGCCTTTCTCTTCTGCATGCGTGCTTTCGTCTTGCTGTAGCAGCAATGTTGAGATGTCTTCTGCGTCTTGCAGCTCTTGGACACTGACCTCAGGGTCTCGTTTGCTTCCCTTTGGATCTGGTGCCTTCAGCCTCTTTTGGGCTTCTTGTATGCCCTCTGTGGGTCTTTTGGCGCTTGCTGAAGCCGCGGTGCTTCCCGCAGGATCAGCTGAGGATGCGGGTCTTCCCGCGATCCTTGGTGCGATTGAGAGTGCGGAGTCTCCCGCAATTCCCTGAGGCGCAGCGGTTCCCGCTGCCTCTCGCTTGTCGCGATACAATGACGAGGAATTGTCGGCCACTGGCGCTTCCAAGTCTTCAACTTGCGCGCTGGCACTTCCTTCGCCTTGTTGTGCCTTCGCTCGCTCTTCGGCAATGATCTTTTCGAATCTTGCTCGGCATGTTGCATTGTGTGGCTTTGGGTTGTCGTCTGAGCTGTGACAGCCTGGGCATCCTTCTGTGGATCCATGGCGAATCTGCCGTTCCACTGTGATGTACACTCCTCGGGCGCGTCCGCTTGGTGTTCCTGGCGCTGCAATCCTTGGTGTGCCTGGGGCTCCTGGCATCAAGGTTGGCTCGCCTTTGGGTTGCCACGGAACGCCCTTGAGAGCCTCGAATCTTTTCAGCTCCCATCGTCGCCCTTCTGGCCTGCGCCATGCACTTCTGCAGCGACGGATGCCGTCTGCTGTTCCGACATAGTGTTCGTCGGATTGCAGGGATTTTCCAACCCAAATGCCAATGGCGCTCTGAGCGTCCAGCTTGCCTTTGGCGTCTTGCGCAAGTTTGTAGTGCACAGTTTCAAATGGCTCTACAACTTCACCTTTGTATTCGCGACCTTTGAGTCGTTCATATGGGGTTTTCCCATCTGCCTTCACCAGGAATCTGGTCAATTGCCATGCTGAATGGCGTACAAGCCACGGGTATGAAACACTGGAAACTTTCAGCTTGAAGTCCTTGTACCTTGATTCAAGTGCGTTCACGTTTGTGCGCACCTGTCGCGAGAGCTCCAGTACCGCCCTTTCAGCGGCCCCATTGGACGCGTGAGATTCACGTGGCGCAGTTTGGTGTTGCACCTCTTTGCCATACTTCACGGCTGATGCCTCTGCAAGTGCTTTGATGCTGTGTTCGGCATCTGTTTGCAGGATGGCTTTCTGTCTACCACAAAACTTCAAAGCTTCTACTACCACATTGACGGCGTGATCATTCACTCCCTTTTGCACAACGCTGCTGAAAACGCAGCCTGTTCTTTCGTCAGTGACTACCAAAACGGGCATGACTCCTTCTGCTTCTTCTGTTGGCTCTTTCAACTCAGCCACCGTTGTCTCTTCAGACTTGGTGTTGTCAAGAACTCTGCCCAAAAAGCAATAGTCCATTGAAACTCTGGGGACTTCCTTGTCGTCTCCTGGAGTTCTTCTACGGTGACTATCCTCACGAATTTTCCCAGCCATACAAAACTCACACCAATTTCTAAAAGGAAGGTGTGTAATCATGTGGTTGTCATACTCGGCTTTGGTGACCGTATCTGGGATTTTCTTGGCTCTTACTGGCCTTGCTGGTTCAGATGGTTCTGCAGGCGGTTCCCCAAGTTCAGGGAGAGGGGGTTCAACCTGTTGCCTGTCCTCTACTTCCATTTCCCCAACTGCACCCGGTTCTCGCGCCTCTTCCTCCAACTCTTCCGCTGGAACAGCTTTCTTGGCAGGTCTGATGGCTGCCATCACTTCCTGGCCGGTGGTGCTTCCCACACAGCTGGCGGTGCTACCCGCACTTTGGGATGCGGCATTACCCGCTACCCCTCCAGGGCTTTTATCTACCATGGTTGCTAAGGGCTTGTCATCATGACCAGTTGAACCCTTTTCAAGTGAAACCGGCAACCAATAAACGCCCCTTTTCTTTACCAACCCAAGTTTGTTGGGGGTCTTCTCAATTGCTGCTTTGATGAATTCACTGGATTTGCTGGGGACAAGAAACTGAGCGTCTGGACCAATCACAGTCCACGTGCCTCTTTGTGCCGCCTTGCCAGCACTGAGCACTGAGAAGTTGATCTTGTCAGACTCTGCGTATTCGATCGTGAATTTCCCAGCATCTGTGTTTATGGTGCTTTTCTTGTACTCCCCAGTGATTAAGGGTTGACCAGTAACCGTAACCATACCAACGTTTGACCCTTTTGAAACTGAACGTGCATGGCTATCAAACCCTTTTACAAACAAGTGACTTCCAGCCCCGGTGTCCACCAAAATCTCCTGCGTGCCATTGTTGACGGCAGCTGCAATGAGCGTCTCCTCAGGGTAGGCGCTGAGTGGTTCTGGTTCATCATCAGGACTTGCAGCATTGGGGCGGGGCTTACCGCTCCCGGGGTTAGCCTTGGCCTTTGGCTTACCCTTACTGCTACCTTTACCTTGGGCATTCTTTTCATCACTGATACGTTTTCTGCATTCTGATTTGAGATGCCCCTGCTTACCACAGTAGAAACAGGATTTGTCCTTGTTTGGATTTTGTGGGGCTTGTTGGGTACCTTTACCCTTGCCTTTGGAGTCACCTTTGGAATTCTTTCCATCACCCTTTTTACTACCTTTCTTACCTCCTTTTCCTTTGGCGTTGGGGGTTGCACCAATTTCCATTGCAACCGGCATGGACTGCAGGACACGGTTAGTCCTAGCTATCTCCAACAATTCAGTCTTGACAGCTTCATACGTATTGAGACGTGCGGCATTCTTGATGAGATGTTCTTTCATTGATTGGTCCTGAACCCCTTGAATTACTATACCCAAAAGTATTTCTTCATCTAAGGTTTTCCCCGACTCCATCTCGTACCGGCGCACTGTTTTGTCGAAGCTCTCGAGTTCGGCCTCGATGTCTGTGCCAAACTTAGTGGCCAAGATGAGGGACAAACTCCCCACGAACCTTGACGCCACCTTGGGGTGATACTGCTGGTAGAGTCTCCTGTAGGCCTCAATGCCCTCTGACACTCCAGCGTTGTAGGCTATGTCCAATGCCCGGTTCCTCAGCAGCATGACCAGCACGAAGTACAGCTGGCCTGAGAGTGTCCTCTCTGTTTCTGAGAGCGCTCTGTTGGGCAATGGCGTTTGGCTTCTCTCAGCCCGGTCCATCAGGTCATTGTATGCAACGTTGATGCAAGACATGTATGACCTGAAGATGAAACACCAATCGGGGAACTCTGTTGCATCCCCTTTGAATACTTCTGGCTTCCCCAAGGTTCTGGTGTCCACAATTCCAAAACCTGAGGAACTAGCGGCGTTTGCGCTTGAATTCCTGGGCACCTCCTCAACTGTGTTGATGGAGATTGCATGTGCCCTCTCAGCTTGCATTCTCAGGATCTGCTCCTCCTGAGAGGTGATTCTTTGGGCCATCTGCCCAACCAGATTGTTAGTTTGCTGCAACTGCTGCAGCACAGCTGTCATCTGCTCCCCAATCTGGGCTGTCCCCATCTCCATCTGATTGATCTGGGGGTCCATCTTTCTTCTTATTCACAGGGTTGGTGGTGTCCGGCTCGTCGTCCTCTTCAGCCACCTTCTTCTTAGCTTTCTTGGTCTTTGGAACGTGGTACTTCTGCAATAGCGGTGTCAACTCAGGCTTGACAGGGACAAAGGTCAACCTCTTGAGCCTTTTGTTGGCAAACTTTGCAGCTTCTGGTCTGTTCTTCTTGGTACGCTCGTCACAACTCGAGCACTCCTCAGGAAGTTGCCTGCGCACCTGTTCTCCAACGGTGCCTCTTGGTGTAAGAGCTCGAATGCTCCTTGTCAGCTGAACTCGTTGGGCAAACCTCCTTTGATGCCAGACTCCTCTTGCTGCTTGGATCGCCTTGGCACCCTCGGCGTAGTTCTCACGAACCTGCCTTCTATGTTGTTCCCGTCTTGGAGCTGACCTGAGTTTGGCACCTGTCCCGGCCCTTGCAACTGACCTGAGTCTAAGGGGCGGTGCTTCCCGCTCCCTTAGGTTGATGAGGGTGACACCCAGGCGTTTCACTCGTACACCCCCTTCTTCTCTGACCCTCTTTCTGGGAGTCCTTCTTACTCTTGGCTTCGGGCCGGTTGTGTCCTCTACGACAACCGTCCTAGTGGGGGCTTCCCGAGATGAACTGGCTCCCCCTACCAGTTCGGGATAACTCGTCTCGACCCGCTCCTGTTGGGCGAGCCTCCTTCTTTCTTGGCCCCTTTGTTGTCGGGCCTCAGTGCGCTCTGCCGAGCGCTTCCCACGCTTGTTCGGCTTCTTCTTAGGAGCCGTCTTGCCAGCGCGGGTCTGCCCGCAACTGGCTGTGGCGCGGGGCTAGCCCGCAGCCACTTGTTGGTGCGGGGCTGACCCGCAACCAACTGCTGGCGCGGGGCAATCCGCAGCCAGCAGCACCCGCGGGTCTAACCGCAGAGTGCTAAGCCCGAAGGCTCACGCTACCATGAAAGCGGGGCGCACAGCCCCAAGATGCAGCAAGCAGCTTGTTTTCCTATCACGCTGATGCTTGAGCCAAAGTCATGGCCATAAGTTTAAATGAATTCTCATGTACAACATGTTAGTCTATACATGGCAGGTGGTGACTGGAATAGGGTCTGTTTCCTGACACAGGTACCAAACCCATGTGAATTTAGGCACAAGATGGTGTCAATGCGAGCTATAAGTTGGTTGATAAACCCGTCAAACCACAGATGTACCATAAATGCATAGCTGATGGCTGCACGAAAATTAATGGCTACAAAGTGGGGCCCCAAATGATGGCTAAGTTGCTTTACCAGGCGCTAATGCTTTACCACATTTTACCACCGGCCCAGCGAGGGTCCATTCCCATCAACCAGCGAGGGTTTCCCATCAACCATGAATTAGACATGTCTAGACTCAACTTGTTGCAACATTCCCAAAATTCCCACCCCCTCTTTTCACCATATACTGATAGTTGTAAGGGGAACTAAGGGAAGAGGAGCGGATAGCAACTATATTCCACGTGCAGATTCCACGGAAGAACACGTGTAGTGCGTTTCAGATAGCCCCGTGTTCTCTTAGTGAAGCATATCGTTGCTGATTTCCCAACCTTTCTGATAGCTAAAGCACCATTTAGTTATCCTTATTATCGTGATGTTTGAAACCCCTATAAAGGATGTTGCCTCCCCATCAAATATATAAAATAAGTATCATACATTATAGTCCTATAACTATAGTGAGTAGAATCATGATTTTTCATAACAAAAACAACTATAGTTAATCACCAAAAATAGTATAATAACGATAACCGCTACAACAACTACTAGTTGTATAATAACTATTTATACTCATCAGCCATTCTCGATGGCGCCCGATCCCCAACCGCCAGCCGAAACCTCCGCTTCATTCACCGCAGGGGGGCCAGATGCCGCCGCCTGGTCATATTAAGAAGAACTGGTTATGCCTCTTAAGTTACATATTTTGTTTAGTAATTGTTTTTTGGATTATTTTAGGTTCTTTTGGTTTGTCTTAGATTGTTTGACTTAGTATTTGTGCAAATGGGTTGTTTAGTGTTCAGCAACGTATTTTTAGATATGTTTAGTATGTTCGTTAAAAGAAAACGGTTTTTTGGTCTGTATCCCTTAGGCTCTAAATGTTGAGGCTCTCCAAGGGCTTGGGTATCCAGGTACACATTCTATCAAGGATAAATTTGTGGAGAGCTCGCAAACATTTGTTTATATAGTTATGTACATATGTATATATATATATATAGTCAGCAATAAAACATGTCGTGTTGTGTTTCCTTACAAAGTTACCAGATGTTATTAGATAATTATATCAAATCATAAGTATCTGTGTCACTAATATCATTCAAGGCCCAGGGTGATCTGATGTTTAACACCCTAGGTTTTGGATGGTTTTGGTACTGCAAAGAACAGATCTGTACCCAAAAATGACAGCTATCTGAGATGACCATAGATGACCATCATTATAAGGTGGAGAAAACACGGAATTCAGTGTGAGGTGTGAAAAACACTGGCACGTGGTTGTTTATCACCTGGACCTGGGTTTAGTCAAATGAACACTACACCAAATGCCATCCAAGGAGTCAATTCCTGAAACCCTTCCAATGAGTCAATGAGGTAAATAATGAACCGTTTCCGATTGTGGTTCATTTATTGGGGACTGTTTTCTAATGGCCCTTTGCCGTTTGCATGTTAAAATTTCGTTGGTTGCATCCCTACTTCTGTTGGTTGAATCCCCATCCACGTCTCATCGCCAGCAAGGCCCCCACCAAACCGCTCGTGCTCTGCGGGGCGTTTAGGCCGCGACCAGAGTAAGGTGACCTGATTTGGCGATTTCAAACGGTGTTTTTTCGTCATAGCAAAGAGGGTTGAAAATATATAAACCATGGTTTATTAATCTATTTATGGTACCCTCCCAATTAAACGGGCTAGGGGTTTATTAATCTAGGGTTGACAGTATATGAAACCATCAAGCAGAATAAACAACATTATTTTTGTGGGATTCAACAGGAAATGCCCAGGTGAATGAATCAAATGCCTAGTGTCAAAGAAAAAACATCATTAAGTTTTCGGCATCTAGCTTCGGCAGTCAGCCAACCAAACCATGTTCTGGATGGAGTGGTGAACATGAATTCAACTAAGAATCCTCCAAAATTGTGTGTCATACCCGGCTTGTGCACATCATGTTTCCCTTCAGCAACAGTCGGAATTAGCGTTGGTACACGGGTCCGTGCCAGAACAAACATATTTGGGTTGCAACCCAAATTGTTCTTCGCTGCCGCAGTTGTAACCCCAGTCATTTCTTGGGTTTTTCCGGCATTGGACACTGGGGATCCCCGCGGGACCGCAGTGTTCCAGGACCCATAGAGGCCACCGGTGCCCGGCATTGGCCCCACCCCCTGCCCGAAGCCCGAGCCGGGCCCAGACCAGCCCTGGTTGGGCACCATTGGTGGCTGCCAGCTGGGCGCTGTGGCCTCGAAGGATTGAAAATTTAACAACGTTCATTGCCTGGATTTGCTTGGTTAACTGTTTGATGTTGTTTGGCTTTTTGTTTTCTGAAGTATCTCCAATGCAGGCAATGATGAATTTGGCATAAACATGGTGCAACTTTCCACCCCACCGAGCATCTGACTGTCCAATCCATAGCATTCGCTGGCCCCGCAACGCCAGTGCCCCACAAATTGGTGCTACCCCAGGGGCTGCTGTTCCAGGGGGCTCCAGCCTCAGAACGGTTTTGGGCAAAACATTCAGTGGCGAAACTACGGCAAGTCCTGGGTTGAGCCGTTCAACGGCTGGATTTCCATGTGTTTGCGCTTGTTTGGGTCACCGCCTGTTATTTTCCCATGCCCGCCGATGATGTACGGCGCATGGCGACATGATGAAAATCACGACCGCAGCGGGTTTCGCCGAGGCATGTGCCCAATCCGAACTTCGCAAGCATGGGGCGAAACATCAAGCCAACGGATGTGTCTCCGTAAGGCAAAGGGGCGTGCTGACGCGTATGCTTCAGTGTATCCACTCGAATCACGCGAGCACCTTGCGGATGTGAATGTTACTCACGTAAAGAAGCACAGCATAGCCCTTCTTTTTTTACCCTCTGGTAAACTAACATAGCTATTGAAAATTGCCAGTTTTAGCTGATTTTCCCATTAAAAATGTGGTTTTCTATAGTTGTGTTAGTTTACCAGAGGGTAGTCCTTCGCATCTTGTGGAAATGCCATGTTGCCGGCACCATGACATTTGTTGGAAAGTGGTAAACTGGCCTCGCATAGGCCCGTGCGCTAAGTTAAATGCACTCAGCAATGTTTCACCGCTCCCAATAAGTAAATTTTATCCAAGGAAAAATGGGATTTAACATAGTTTAACAGGATTTAACATGATTTAGCAATCTTTAACCCGTAAAAGCCACATGTTGAGAATGGATATGGTTTTGTCGAAACTGAGGCATACACCAAATTCCTCACAATCTTGGCATTGGAAAACAATTGTTTTCACCAACAGGACATGGGGACATTCCAGTTTTAGACTAAGCCACTGAGATGGATCAAACAATTCCCATTGCATATGTCAGAGCTGCAGTGTGAAGATTTTAGTGGTAAACGTAGGTAAAGTACCGCATATATATATATATATACATTAATATATATATATATACATTAATATATATATATATATACATTAATATATATATATATACATTAATATGTATATATATATATACATTAGTACATATATATATATACATTAGTATATATATATATACATGAATATATATATATACACATTAATATATATATATATACACATTAATATATATATATATATATACACATTAATATATATATATATATTAATATTAATATATATATATATATATATAAATTTATATACATATGGTCACCCCCCCAGAACCCCTCCACATAATGTTTGTACTGGTATTTACAATATAAAACACGTGTTTTGTTTTATGTTCAACATTTTAGGGTTGCTTGAGTTACTTACATACATTTACTTAAGTAAACATTAATGCTTCTGAAATCTTATATAATATATAGATATCTAGAATCACCAAAACCGCAAAAACCTTGGAAAACCAAGAAAAAACAAAGCCAGAAGTCTTGGGGACGCCTGGGAAACCCAAAAAACAAAACTTTGAGGAGAATGTTTGGTTTTGACTCAAAAGATTTTTTGTTTGTTTTCCCTAGGTTTTGTTTGTTTTTGGTTGGTTTCAACAGCCAACCTTGAGTTTTTTTGCATACATACTATCAACCAATATCTCAAAAAACAAAAAAACTCAAGTTTTTTTTGGTTGTGTTTTTTTTTGTTATGGTTTGATATGGTTTCAAAAGCCAAAAAAAAGTGTTTTTTGTTTTTTGCATATATGCTATCAACCAATATCTCCAAAAAACGAAAAAAACTCAAGGTTTTTTTTCTTTTGTTGTTATGGTTTGATATGGTTTCAAAAGCCAAAAGCAAAAAAAAACTTGAGTTTTTGTTTTTTGCATACATGCTATCAACGATATCTCAAAAAAAACTCAGGAGTTTTTTGTTTGTTTGCTTTTGTTGTTATGGTTTGATATGTTATGCAGTATTTGATTCAAAGAGTACCAGACACATTGCGTAAAAAATGAGGCCAGTGGGGCATGTTGTAAAAAAATGTACTGTTTCTGTGTCGTAGAATGCGTCAATAGATGCAGTAGTACTTTGAAAGAGTCTTAGCCGTAAAGAAAGTCCTTAAATGGATGCAGTCTTTTGAAAGAGTATCGGACATATTGCAAAAAATGGTGGAGCATGTGATTAAAAAAAGGGAGATCCCCAGCACGTCGCAAGCAGTCGCAGTCGCAGTGCAGCATCCAGAAACCCTGGAGCTCAGCGTGTAGCCCGTAAAATTCTGAAGTCATGATCTTTGATGCCGTCAAATGGAGGTTTCCTAAAATATGGGTACATACCCCAAACCATTGGATTTTTGTGTGGGGTACTTCCATTGTAGGAAACCCAAAATGTAGGAGTTTCATGGAGTTTCTTCCCAGTTTTCCCAGCAATTTGGAAAGGGTTTTGGCAGGTACAACCAGTATCAATTTGATATGCCTTCGCAGAGATTTTTTGAAACCAAATCTGAGTCCATTATGCTATATATATTATTTGAGCATATTTGAGCAATGTCAATAAAAATACCATGGCCATGGCTTCTTGCCATTTTAGGAACCCATGGTCATTCGGGACCTGGCAGGAACTCTCCGAACTATACCTGGGGGCCTGGGGGCATCCCCATTTCAGAGCGGCTATTTTGAATGATGTTCGGAAAAAAAAACTCTGGTCCCACTTTGTTGGAACATGGTTATGACTAACCACTATAAATGGTGATTTTTCATGGTTTAACAATGGATTAACAATGGTGAAGAATGGAATGATAATGGGATATACCCTCTGGTTATGACATTCACAGTTTGCCATGGGATTTCCATGGCCCTAATCGAAATAGATGGTAAACACCGTTCTTAAAAGCATGGGTGGATTTTCCATAGCTATGTTAGTCATAACCAGATGGTACAAAAGATCGAGGCAGCACCCCAAAACGAAGTGCGATGTTGTTGCTTTGAGGCGGTGACATTCGATTTTTTGGGGGCATACTTGGGGTGCAGTTCACTCAAGCGAGTCAATGTCCATAGGCGTAGGGATTGCATCCCAACATTCACAAACATCACCCTAACTGCACCCCCAAGTCATACCCTAGTAAAACTATTACAATTAACCATTATATAGAGAGAGAGAGAGACATGCCGAAAATACCTTGGACACGTGGAAAAAAATGGAGAACAACTGAAGTAAGATGCTGGAAAAAACACACTTGTCGGAATATGTTTGGGGGTTAGTGGTAGAATATGTTCATATATCCCAATCTCAGATCACATACCCCAGAAACATAGGTGAAGTATAGATTACATGTTGGCGAGAATGATTGATTTATACGGATAATGTTTGATTTGGTATTTTTAGGGCATGCGAAAATCATGTCTATATGGATGTGTCCTAGGTCATGGGGTTTTACCCCCAGTCATCCATTTGTAGATGGTGACTTTCCATGAAATCAACATTTGTAGAAGGGATTTTCCATTCAAACATCCATGAAATCAACCTTGAAATAAATTTATAAACCTTGAAATAAACTCTCCGAGTTGTCCAAAAAATGGGGTGCCAAAATCTTCGCCATTTTGGGGTGCACCCCCCGTCCATGGCATGGCGGCATGGCGTCGGCTCCGTCAAGGCACAGTCGCACCAAAGAGGCCACCACTTTGGCTGCCTCGAAAGCGAATCCACCCATGAAAACACCAAAGAAATCGGTCAACTATAGACATACTACCCTCTGGTAAACTAACATAACTATGGAAAATCACCATTTTCTATGGGAAAACTCACTATAAATGGCCATTTTCAATAGCTATATTGTTAAATTACTAGAGGGTATAGACTATAATAATGTTTAGTTTTTAACCTATCATGGTTTGTTGTGGGTATTATTACTATGTTGGCATTTCACTGGTTGCGAAAAATAGGGATTTGGTTGATGTGTGTCCAAATTGTGGAATTCATGACAATGCTAAAGCACCACAAATTTATAGATTTATAGTGGTAAGTCGTTTTAACATGGGTATTAGAGGGTTCTATCATAGCTATGGTGTAGATGGCCCATTTTTCTGATGTAGATGATTTCCACATCACACTATATTATGGATACATCACAAGTCATTTCTTAGATATGTTCTTGTATCCGTGACAATAGTTTTCCTATCATCATGAGAAACCATCATGTTGTGAGTTCAGTGTTGCAGAAATAGGTGTAAATTAGTGTAGTGTATGTTAAACCCTGTGGTAACTGGTAGTTCATGTAGTCATTGGATAGGAATTGGGGTTTCAGAAATAACCTCATCGTTGGCTACCAGACATTGATGGATAATGTTGCCCTAAGCTCCAGATGATGGGGATATGACTTGATATAACCCATCAACGAACGAGGGGAGCATCTTCTCCAACGGCAACGAACGATTGGTTGACCATTGCTGCTAAGCAGTCGAATCATGCATAAGGTGATCACAAACTAGTCGCTTCTTCGGCGCTGTTGTGATTTCAGTTGGAGTACTACAATTCTTTTAGTGCCATGTGACGTTGCCATCCAACACCTCTAAACAACAATGTAGGTGCCTATTCATACTGATATTTAAGGATCCTTCGAGGAAGACTTGTTGCGTGAGGAAACATGTCTTTCATGTGGCGGGAAATTAGGGCTGAGGAAAATGGCCCGATCCACACCTGTGAGGCTATTGGTAGAACTGTTTTTTCGTCCTGCATGCTCAGTATGAACATATTTTTATTACCCTCCAGCAATCTACCCTGGACCCTGCACTAATCTGGTAAGGAAGTGTTAGCTAGTCGAACTAAATAGACCATCTATACCATAGCTATGTAACAAATGACCAGAGGGTAATTTGTATAAATGGAGGTTTGTAGCTGGGGAAATCAACGAACATCATCTATATATACATACATATATATATATATGGTGAATTTTCCAGCCGCCTTTGTAGTGATACCAGAGGCTGATCCCATCTCCCGTTCACAAGAAAAAAACATATAGTATGGTTCCAAAATGTCCCAAAGATGTGTAAAGATGCCTTACTAAACCATGGTGACTCTGGGGTGTTTTTCATAGGAATGAGGGGAAGGTATGAAGGGATTCTTGGTGCATCCAAACCATCTTTTGACTGGTGAAGTGCATCTCCCAACAAAAAGCTCTCTGGTGGATGCAATAAATATATGGTATAATATTTGGTTAATATATGGTTAATAATAATCTGGTTGGTGGTGCAATTTCACCATCATGAAAAATATGATGGAGTTCGTCAATGGGAAAGATGACATCCCATATATTTATGATGGAAAATCATCCATTCATGTTTGAAACCACCAACCAGTAAAAATCATTAGTCACCATTAATCACCATTGATCACCATTAATCTCCATTAATAGGGTTTATAAACCATTATTAACCATGTTTAACCATTATTAACCATTATTAACCATTATTAACCATTACTAACCATTACTAACCATTACAAACCATTACTAACCAATACTAACCATTACTAACCATTACTAACCATTACTAACCAATACTAACCATTGCTAACCATTACTAACCACTACTAACCATTACTAACCAATACTAACCATTACTAACCATTACTAACCATTACTAACCATTACTAACCATTACTAACCAATACTAACCATTACTAACCAATACTAACCATTACTAACCATTACTAACCATTACTAACCATTACTAACCAATACTAACCATTACTAACCATTACTAACCATTACTAACCATTACTAACCAATACTAACCATTACTAACCATTACTAACCAATACTAACCATTACTAACCATTACTAACCATTACTAACCATTACTAACCAATACTAACCATTACTAACCATTACTAACCAATACTAACCATTACTAACCATTACTAACCATTACTAACCATTACTAACCAATACTAACCATTACTAACCATTACTAACCATTACTACTAACCATTACTAACCATTACTAACCATTACTAACCATTACTAACCATTACTAACTACTAACCATTACTAACCATTACTAACCAATACTAACCATTACTAACCATTACTAACCAATACTAACCATTACTAACCATTACTAACCATTATTAACCATTATTAACCATTACTAACCATTACTAACCAATATTGACCAAATTTCACTCACCAGATTTCAGTCACCAGAGCTTTCCATCCGATGTTCAGAGCGCCTGACAACATCTCTCCAGGTTTCACATCGATCAAGCGCCCAGGTTGACCCCCCAGCAGGTCGCTCAAGGGGAACTGCTGCCCTTGGGCGCCTCGCGTCATCAAAACATCGCAGTTGGATGTTGCACCCCAAAATATGGCAGCCAGGGCTGGACAAAAAAAAACCTGTATTTTTTTGGGGGGGGCCATGGAATTTCTGATATGACACTCTGATTGTTTGATATGTTTGGGGGGTTTTGGTGGATCTCGCTGGATGGTTGTTGTTGTTTCATTGCTCGATCAGGATTTCTTACAATTCACTGGAGATACTTCAGGGTTTTTCCGCTTCAAGCAGAACAGTTTCAGGCGGAGCAATGATTGGTTGGCGGTTGGCGGAGAGGGATCCCCATTACTATAATGGCTGCTGATCATGTTCCAATATATTGGAGAACATAACAGCATAACTTCCGAATGATAATCAATCAACACGCGTTTTTGTCACTGCTCTGGGCAATTATATAAGTGTGTGACGTCAAATCTGTTGCTTGTACGATTAATGTGACTAAATGAGCTGGGTGTCCGTGTTTGAAAAGATTGATTTGTGCGGGTACGAGTACCATGTTTCTATTGCACGTCATCTAGGGCTGTCTCAACATTGCAAACTCCAACCTCCCATGGTTTGCAACCTGATTTTACAATAAAGTTGCAAGAAATTGGCGGCAGACCCCCATATGGACAAACCTACATAGGTATTGTCTTGTTGGCTAAACACCTATGCCTGTACTTTATTTTCCCAAAGTAAACCCCAATTTGTGCATGGCGAAAAATGCAGTGCGATGGCGCACCGTTTGTGTCACCGAAAAAACGCGGGACCCAATTGTGGCTAGGGCGACGTTGGGAGAGTATGTGTGTATGCGTATGTATGTATATAATAATATATGGGCCATATACACTGCAACGTATATATATATATGTTGTATACAAAGATAATGTCAATACTTAAATGATCTGCTTATATAATGTATTATAATTATATATATATATTATATATTATATATATAACTATACTTGAACAAAAACATCCCGCCGGACCGGAAACCGTTCCCATAAAACGCACATTTTTTAAAAAATGGTGATTTTACCACAGTGCCGTGCTGATTTGATGATTGGAAATCCTGGAAAAACTTGGGGCGCCTTTTTTCGTTTTTCAGCGTCATCGCTGCAACGCATGCGCCGTTATCAGCTGGCAGTCAGCATTCTTGTGAATGCATCTCCATTGCCAAGCTCTAGCATACACCATCAAGAGGTCACTTTTGGCACTCAAGTTGCTGGGAATTGACTTTTTCATCAGATTCCACTTTCAGCAGCGTAGCAACATGTAACGTAGCAAACGATCCCGGAGATCCCAGCAGCGTAGCAATATTTCATGTACGAAGTACAAGGAACGTTAACTTGCCCCCCCCCCCCCCCCCCCCCCCCCAGCAGCAGCGTAGCAACATGTAACGTAGTAAACGATCCCAGAGATCTCAGCAGCATGGCAATATATCATGTACGAAGTACAAGGAACGTTAACATGCCCCCCCCCCCCCCCACCCCAGCAGCAGCGTAGCAACATGTAACGTAGTAAGATCCCAGAGATCTCAGCAGCATGGCAATATATCATGTACGAAGTACAAGGAACGTTAACATGCCCCCCCACCCCACCCCACCCCACCCCACCCCACAATCGCGATATTCAAAAACGTGCGTTTTACGGGAACGGTTTTCGGTCCGCAGGCAAAAACATCAGGTGTATTTTCCTCAAAAAATATGTCGACATTCCTCAGCTGCGCATAGCTGCGCTCGGCACCCGCGGCTGAAGCGCTGCGATTCAACATGCCCTCGCCCGGCGTGATGAACGACGGCGACTTGAGGAGCGGTGGAATCACCTGGTAGCGCGGACCCGGTGACCGGTGATGCCGGTGTTGGGCAGCTGGGGCCACTATCGAACTATAGGAGGAACTGATGGTTATTATATGGCTAATGGTGGTTAATGGTGATTAATGGTGATTAATGGTGATTAATGATGATTAATTATCTTAGGTCAATGGATTGGTTTTCACGGGAAAATCTTAACCGGAAACCATGGTTTTTACCATCAAATTTGATGGGCTTTCCTGTTTCAATTTTCCCATCATCCAATTCTATGAATAGGAGGAAGTGGTTTTTCAATGATGATCTGGTTGGTGGTTTTTCGCCCTACCCCTCTGAAAAATAAGAGTTCGTCAAATGGGATGATGAAATTCCCAATATATGGAAACATAAAATTCCATTGTTCCAAACCACCAACCAGTGATTTATGGTAGACATATGGAGCTATATGGAAAATATGGGAAATTTTGGGGTGAACATAAAACTAACTAGCCGCTAGGTAATGGGAGTGGTGCATGGATCATTATTAGGGATAGGTTTTTCTGGGAAAGGTCTCAAACTAAATGGGGGAATGGTCCAGCAACCCAAGTTTGATAACCCGAGGGGAAGTGGCTATAATAATGTGATAGATAGATTGGCTTTAATTGGACCTTAATAGTGGACCAAAGTTGACATTCATAGCCTCCGGTGACATCAAAGCTCCATTTTTAGCTCCATCCCCGTCCCATAAATGATGGGAAGCGTTGTGCATGTATGGGGTGGGATGGGATTAGCGTTCAATAACGTTCTTTTTGGTGATCATAAAAAATGCGTCTTCCAACACGCTTTTGATGCTACGCTCTGAACTTGCTCTTGGGAGCTTGAATGTTGGGGTGGCAAATACCAACTCATTCCCAGGCAGATAGGGGGCAAAGATGTGTGAAACAGATCTTTGAACCAAAGAATGTGGGATTCTGTCTTTGCGTTCCGATGGCGCAAAAACACCCAAGGCTGTCTTTTAGCAGACTTGGCGTCCAGGACATGACAAAAAGGTTCAGTACTGTATTAATTTGCATGTGCTTCTGGTGCATGTTCAGGATAGAAAACACTTGAACATATGCCAAAATTACCCACGTCATTAACGACGTCTTGACCTTGTTGGGGGGTAGAATATGCTAGAATTTCTAGAATCAAAGAAAAACACATGAATAGAAATTCTAGATGGTTCATAACTACTAACTCAATGAGTTATTCTTAACTCAATGTTACTATATAACATGTTCATAGATGGTTCATGACTCAATGTTACTAACTGGGCGTTCCATCATATTCCATCCAGCCGAATTCAGCCCGGTGACACAGACTGACAGCAGCGTGATGATCAGCGCGATCAACGAGAAATCCACATGGAGGTGGCTCACCTGAGAGCTAAAAAAGCAAGCGGCCGTGTTCCAGCTCGCAGCTCTGCAGAGAGATCATGAATTATCATGAATTTCAGGGTCTGAAACAAATATGTACATCAAGTAACTAGTTATACTACATGATGTTTAAATATGTTTAATATGATGTTTCACATGATGTTTCACATGGAAATTTCACCCTTTTCTAACACTCCAAAAGACTCCGAATCCGAAAATCCACCAGAAAACGCGGAGATTTTCACGGCCTCGGGCTCTTTTGCTTCGATCCAGCCCCAAACATCACCTGCGAAGTCTGATCTGCTGAAAATCCCATGGGATTTGGGGAAGATCCATGGGAAAATCTTAGCTGAGATCTTTGGAATCTTTGGAATTGAAAATCACCAGAAAATCCACTTTTGTTGATTTCTAAAACAACTGGTGATTTTCAAAATTCACTTTGAAATTGAAAATCAACTGATCAACTGCTAATTTCAGAAACATCAAATGAAATTCAGCCGCGCACTCTCCCGGTCGGCGCGGTGGCTGCTGGCAGCCCAGCGCGTCGTCGGAATGCCCATGCCGGAAGCGCTTCCGGAAGCGTCATAGGCGTCCGCCAAATCATCGCGATCGCCTTGTGGGGAAGTCTACACGGTCTTAGGATACCCCTAAGGATACCCCTAAGGATACCCCTAAGGATAGCCCTAACCCTGAAAACAAAACCTTGGAATAATTTTGACATATTCATAAATATGGTTCCAATCCAATCAGAAATTTGGCCTACCGCAATCTTTTGGACTCAGCTTTGTCGACCAGAAATGTGGTACCAATGAAGGTGCAAAAGCAAGAGGATTGTCAGGTGTGAAATATATATTATAGAGCCGTCCAATTTTGGGAGAAAAACATGTTGAGCCCAACTTCTATGTTGGTATCTCAGTTTCTTTTCATAAAAGCATCTAATTAAAAGAGCGAACTTCGCAAACTCTCACGACGTTGGCTTGTCAATGGATGGTTTTGGGGTGAATGTCCCTCAATCTACCCGGCCTGGTAAACGTTTATATAACGAACTGGAAAATCCACCCATGCTATTCATGGGAAAATCCACTATTTCGACTGGGCCATGGCTTCAATAGCAAAGTGTTGATAGGGTGAATCCCCCCATCTTGGGATGCTGATGATCCCGATGATGTTTTTCCCATGGAAGTCCACCATTGGATCCTGTTTTTTTTTCTATCACTGCTTATATAGGTAAAGGTGTTAAGTTTCCACGGAAATCACCTAACCAACATCTCCGTTCAATGTAGTTATATATACATATATATATAGAAATATACTATACTATATATATATTATATATGTTATATATATAATATATATAAAATCTGAAGTTCCACCTGAAACTAACTACTCCCAGGACTCCCAGGAACGGCCTGTCGGACCCGGTAAGGCGGGACTACCCATGTGGAGCAAAGGTAAAGCCTCAGTCCCAGGTCAACTTGGCTTCCGTGGTTTCCAGTTAGTTAAGTTGGTTTTGAATACCAGGTTTTATGGTAAATATCTATAAACATATATATATATAGTTAGTTTTTTGGTTAGTTAGGTTGGTTTATAGATGTTTATGAATATCTATGAAAATACCATAAACCATCATAAACCTTGGTTTTAATATGTTATAATCAGAATATGAAAAAAAACCTGGGATGACCATAAGCCAATTGGCATTAGTAACTTGCTTGGTTTACCCCTCCAGGGCAACTCGTCCACTAATTTCAGAGCACTGGGATCCTGCTTCAATGAGAAGCGGCGATGTCCCCATTCCCATTCCAAAATGCGATTCCAAAATATCCGAAAAACATTCAACTGGTTGGTGGTTGAGCCCTACCCCTCTGAAAAATGATGGAGTTCGTCAGTTATTGCGTTGGTTATCCCATATATTATGGAAAATAAAAAATGTTTGAAACCACCAACCAGTCAATAAAAATGGAGATGTTTTTCTGGTGAACATATTTAAATTCCAGTTCAACCGGATTCAATGTCGAGCGATTATGTTACATGTTACCATCCGATTTCGTTGGATCGTAGTCGAGCAATCCTTTCCTGTACAGAAGGGGCAGATGTATTGGTGAAATCCTGTATCTTGGAGAAAAATGGATAGGCTTGTTATGTGACATGTATCTGGATAAATGTGGATAAATCACAATAGATTATACTACTTAGTATGTCGTCAACCTGAAAAGTGTTTGCCATTTGGGGACACTTACCCTCTGGTAAACGTTTATATAACGAACTGGAAAATCCACCCATGCTATTCATGGGAAAATCCACTATTTCGACTGGGCCATGTTCAATAGCAAACTGTAAACGTTTACCAGGCCGGGTACTCCTTCAGTACTAACCATCCATTCCAGTGACGTCGTTTTGTGAGGTCACAACATCCAGATCAATGGTGCTTCAAACATTGGTCAGTCCTTGAAACAGCAACCAGATGCATCCACTGGATGCATCTGTGTGGAAAAAACAATATCCACCATCTACCCGCTGGTAATCTAATATCTAAAATAGTTATGGAAAGCCACCATCTTACAAACGAAACAAAAAAAATGCAAACGGGCCATCTATACCATAGCAAACTGCTAAATGATCCTCTACTAAGCTAACATAGCTCTTGAAAATCACCATGTTTATCAGTAACTCATCTAAATATCATCTACAAACGGGCAATTTTTATCATTTTTTCCCATAGCTACCCTCTGGTAAACATACAAAAAACTATTGAAAATGGCCATAGAAATAGTGAGTTTTCCCATTCAAAATGGTGATTTTCCATGGTTATGTAAACGTTTACCAGGCCGGGTATGTTGGTTTACTGCCAGAAATTCCCTCTTCAGATGAGAAAACTCACCGCGGCAAGGAACATCCAGAGTCACCAAGGGCGACGCGATGCCTACAAAACCCATCACCTGGGGCGCCAGGACTGGAGCCTCTGGTCATGGCCATGGCTATGGAAAATATATGGAAAATATGGATGAACATCCAATTTTTCACCATAACATGATAATTAATAATCTACCCTCTGGTTATGACTAACATAGCCATGGTATAGATGGCCCATTTATAGATGGTTTACCTGGGTTTACCTATTAAAAATGGTGATTTTCCATGGCTATGTTAAATAACCAGATGGTAGATTATTAATTATGGATAAATAATATCGATGAATAATATGGATTAATTGTAAGTTTAACCAATATGGGTGAATAATATGTTAAACTATAATTAGATTATCTTATTATGTTAAATAATCATGTTCATCCATATTTTCCATAAAACACAGATAACATGAAATATAAATGGAACATGAAATGGATGGATAAGCATTATTGAAGGATAAACATTACTGAAACATAAGATTACATGTTATGGACGAACAAAATATGGATAACAAGGAACATGAAATGTATAAATTGATTATTTTAATTGGATAAAATACGATAAAATATGGATAAAAACATGGAACATGAATGAACATGACATTTCTATAAATGTTTTTTACAAAAAAAAAAATGATCTAATTTGGATGAACATGGAACATGAATGAACATGACATGTATATGAGTGATTTCTTTAAATTTGGATCTAATTTGATGTATTGTTTTGGGCTGGAAATTCATTGGGGGAAGGGATTCTCAGCTCCAATAGTTATCGGTTGGAGCCATTGAAAAAACCTCCATTTTTGGGGTAGGTTTTTCGGTGGGGTTACCATGGTTTAGCCTCTTGGAATCTGGCAGTGTACGATTCCAAAGCTATGGGAAAATGGGGGAAAAATGGACGGACATGCAACATCTACTTCGATGATTCCGCTAGCTTAGGAATGGTGATTTTTGTTTTTTTTTTATGTTATACAAATTGCAACAGGGCAATGACATAGCTACAGTATGAGAAATGGAATGAAAGCCCTTGGGCCCTTGGGCCCCGTACTGTGATGGCCACACCCAGCAGGCAGGCGAATGTGCCTAGGAGGCCCTGTCGATTTTGAAGGTCCTGCGGAAAACGATGGGTGAAGGATGACTCAATCAATGACCTACTGGTTGGGGGGTATACCTACTGAAAAATGATGGACTTCGTCAGTTGGGATGATGACATTCTCAATACCCTCTGGTAAACGTTTACATAGCTATGGAAAATCACCATTTTTAATGGGTAAATCCACTATAAATGGCCATTTTCAATAGCTATGTTAGTTTACCAGAGGGTATATGGAAAAATAAAATTCCATGGTTCCAGTCACCACCAACCAGACTTACTTGGTGAATCAGCAGATGGTCAATATTTTCACAACCAAATGATTCTTCATCAATAATAGATTTATGTTCATAACTTTTGGGCGAAATCTGATGGTTACTTGATGGTTTTATGGGGTATGTACTAATATACCTAATAATATCTATATCAGCTAATATATCAGATATGGATTAATATGGGATGTACTGACATACCCCAGCTAACCATACCTAACCATCATTTAACGAACTCTAGTTGAATCCCCATCAAAAGATCTGGGACCATGATATACCTATAACATCCTATAGCAGGCTGTTCTCTCCCCGTTTCTGTTTCAAAACAAGAAACATACAGCATACAGCAGCATACATATATAATTACATATATCATCATATACTGGTTGGTGGTTTCAACCCCTCTGAAAAATATTCGTCAGATTGGATCATCATCCCAACCATTGGGAAAAATAAAAATAAAAATCCAAACCACCAACCAGTATATCATAGATACTTTGCCTTCATCCGAACAACATGAAAGTCAATTTTGCCACTTATCATCCCGGTTGTTGGTACAAAAAATCGTCCAAAAACCCCACCAGATATTGCTTGGCCTTGTCCCAAATGGTTTGGGTCAAAATTGGGACCCCAAAAATGGATGTCACCCTCCAGCGACCCTGGCAGTTGTCGGGGTTGGAAGATGGGTGAAACCACGAAAAATGCGTGATCTTCAGGGTCGAACTATGCTAATTTACCAGAGGGTAATGCTAAACATAGACTAATTCCAATCATTTCCAATCTGTGGGTCCCTGAGTCAATGGTTGACCCCCCAAAATCCCCAAAATCCGCCGATCTTTTTAGACCGCTAACACACTCAGCAGCTGCTGCACAATCTCCTGCGGGAGGGCCCCTATGGAGATCAGGAAATTGGGTCTCAAAATCGGAAGGGATAGTAGGAGATCTTATGTATATGTTGGAATATATTGGAAGATGTTAGAATATATTGATATATTGGGAGATGTTGGCAAAATACTGGGAGATGTTGGAATATATTGATATACCCTAGGGTAAAGATAGAAAAAGATGCTGAAAAGCCATGGTTTTCCTTAGTGGATTGTCCACATCAATGTTTGTTTCCCCAGGCGAATTTCATCAAAAATGTGGCTATTGAAAATCACCATTTACCAGGCAATCCATTTTCAATATCTGTAAATGGGCATCTTCAATATCGATCCACCGTCAAAATTTGTGACTTCAGCCCTAAAAACCGTCAGGTTCTCTGATTCCCCAATTTCTTCATGGAATCTGTGCCAGGTGTGCCCTTAAAAAATGGCAGACAAACCAACTCAAATCGTTGAAGAAAAGTAGGTCTAGTTGAATACATGGACAAAAAAAAATGAATTGAAATTCTGACTAAGACGATATTAGGGGATTTTAGATGATATTGGATGATATTGGATGATATTAAGAAGTTTGAAAAGTTTTCTGGCGATTGATAAAAACTATGGACAAGCTTTCACCTAGAATATATATGAGTTTTACTTGAAGTTACCAATCCTCAAATTGTGAATTCTAGTTTTCAGGTGCCTTGACATATTTCTTACATTTCAATCATATTTGGGGTTTGCCGTATTATTATCGTTTAAGTCGTCTTTCTACTTGGGTTTGTCTCAAACACACTATGGTAGGCCATTTAGACATCCCAACTGCACATCTGGGGGGCTCCCTTCAGTCACTCGACTTAGCAGATTTGGGTGCAGTTCGAAGGTTGAAAATCTCAAAAACTCGGCTTACTATTGGCTTTATAGCTTTGTAGATAGGTGAAATGTAGTGAACCATGCTTCATTAAAAAATATTTGGCTGAATTATGCGAATTTACAAACCTCACAATAATTGTTGTCATGCGGCCAGCCCAACAAGGGATGATTCCCCGAAACCAATTCCCATCATTCCAGCCATATGTCACGACTGAGATCATGATCATAATCCAGAAATATCCGGTTCACTACATTCAGCTATGGATTATCATTGTCATTATCACTACTGAGGTCATTATCATTATCACAATCCAGCTATGGATCCAGAAGCCACCCCAAAAAAATCGGCCATTTTTTGATTCCCCCTTTCCAGTGGATTTCCCATTTGCCAAATGATCAAATTCAAAGACTCTCTCGTGTGGTAAGACTCTCTTTCTCCTGGGGGATCCCCAAGTCAAAACACTAGCGGGATGATGGATCATCGATTACATAATGATAGTTCATCATTAATATCTCTTGGATTACAATCATATACATATGTATATATATATATCCCGGGACATATCAATTGATGATGATGATGATGATGATGATGAATATGATGAATATGATGAATTTCCGGGACAATTGATTACGGGATGATATTATCATAAATCATCATATTTTTTGATGCAACTTCCCGGATTGTCATCGATAATTGACAATTGATACAGGATGGCCCCCCCAGTTATAAGTTGGTTTACGAACCATTATAACCCCCATTAACTATAGTTATATCTAAACCATAGAAATCAGCCACTGAAATAAGGCGTTTCTGAACGCTATCTTGGGGGCCCCGTCTTCTATCATTCCATCAAAAACTGGTTGGTAGGGATTTCCCGTTCTTGGATTACTAGTGCAATTAGAATCCCCAATAATCCAATATATGAAGGGTAGATTGTCATCCCCAACCAAATCATCAACTGGTTGGTGGTTGAGCCCTACCCCTCTGAAAAATATGAGTTTGTCAGCTGGGATGATGACATTCCCAATTGAATGGAAAATAAAAGCCATGTTCCATTCCAGTCACCACCAACCAGATATATTGTTCTTCCAATTATTAACCATAGATTAACCATAGATATACCATAGATTAACCCTGCTAGGGGTAGATCGCAGCCACTGCTCAATGCTGTTTCAGCCGATGAAAGACGGCACCTGCTTCGTGGGCGGTGCTCCAGGCGCCTTTGGCGGCACCTCACAGTCGCCGCAACTGGGCTCCTGGCACCTCGCGGCGAAAATCTGGATTTCACCGGGTTAACAGGGGTTGTTCTGCAACAAAAAGGACGACTTAAAGTGGATTCTAGCGACATACCCGCATGCTCCATGTATGGTATATTTACCTACATTTGGGTGTTTTTTAGGGCAAATGTAGGTAAATATACCAGCACCATGGAGCATATGGGATAGAATTGAGAGCTGTCAGCAAAAAATGATGAGCAACAAAACATGTGGCATGTCATCAACACCAGTGAACTGTTTGACCATCAAACATGGACATTTACTCATAACCAATGGGGATTAGAACCAAGAACCAAAAGGCAACGAAAGTTGGCTGGTCGATCTCCACCGTCCACTGGCATTGTGGGTGGGCTTATACCACAACACAGAATGAGGAATCATTACCATCTGGTTATGACTAACATAGCCATGGAAAATCCACCAATTTTTAATAGGTACATCATCTATAAATGAGCCATCTATACCATGGCTATGTTAGTCATAACCAGATGGTAACCTATGATGTCGGATGCCGAATTTCAAGACTTGAGAATAGTGAGTGAATGAATGACACAATTTTATCATACCTCATCTACTGCTTAATATAGGGGTTTATGAGCCGCTCGACATATAGATTGAATGTGAATGAATTCTGAATTCAGAAGCAGGGACGGACATCACGCACTGCATTGGCCAGTCTCATCAGTGTACACTGAGGTCTCCTAAAATGAGCATATGATCATCATTTATCATACAAATTTTAGAAAAACCCTCATTTCAGGTATAATCATCATAAAAAATGATTCTAACATCAAATAAATCATATCCAAATGGTATAAAAAGGAGAAATTTTATCATCCATTTTTTAGACCATTCTAGACCATTTTATTGAAACCCTCGGTGACTTGGAGGATCCCCTCTTAAAAAAGAACCCCCCCAGTTAAGGGGTCCCATCAGCTGATCAAAAACGGGTCCAATCTGAAGGTCCCATGAAAATCCCATCCCCAACAAAAGGAGTTCTTCGCTAGACAGATGGGGATGGGTCAAAATCTACGTTTTTTTATGGGTTTTATGGGGATTTCATTGGAACTCATGGGGGTTTTCATGGGAACTTTATGGTGGTTAATGTCAACCCTGGATTTTTTTGAACCCCTAGCCCGGCTGTTTAACTGGGAAGGTGCCATTCAAGTATCAAATCATGACTATTGGGGGAATACCCCCCTAATTAATAAACCATGGTTTATTGATCCGGGCTTGACATTACCATATTTGGAGGAATGGACTTCCATTAACCGGCTATTTCAAGATACCTAGGGCCTCAGGGTTTGACTCATAGCCAGAAACCAAGGGGCGACTCATCCGTGGGACAGTTGACAGAATCGAAAATCTACATGGGGCCGGATACCTTGGACGCCTTGGGGGCATGTTCCGGGTGAGAAAAGGATTTGTCCCATGACCACGTTCCATATCTTGCGACCCCATGTTCAAAGACGCCCACTTGAATCCTGAGTTTGGAGCTGGTACCAGTTGAATTTCCAATGAAACAAATCCCAGAGTTGGTTTGGGGGAAAGAACCTATGTCTTGCCCGTCTTGTTAACTTTCGTAAATAAGGTGGCGGGTTGTATTTAAGGTCTGTCCCCGGAAATAAGGTGCATGCAGTATCCAAAATGCATCAAATCAAATGTGCGGAGATCCTTGGCTAAAAAACTGTTGCGTAACTAATTTCGAGACACGGCCCCGATTTCGTGTTATTTGTTTCATTTATTTACTGATCTTTTCAATAATTTTGCTTTATTTTTTTGGCGAACCGCCACCGGCTGCTCAACAAAATACATTCTATGAATCTTTAAAAAAAGGCCCGCCGCAGGCGCCACTTTTCAGTGTTCCATCAATCTGAAAACCATTTAAAAATAGACGCTACACATTAAAACAAAAACACATATATGTCTTTCCTTTGTTTTCTAAAGTTGTTTTATTCATTTTTGTTTTTTTATTATTTTTTCAGTTTTTTTATTTTGTTGTATCTTTATTATTATTTTTATTATTTTTGTTGTTCGTGTTTTTTTATGATGTTTATTTATTTATTAGTTTTTACGTGCTTATTTTTATGTTTATTATGTTTTACGTTATTTTTTTTTATTTATTTTTATGTTTTCTTTAATGTGCCGTTTATCTTTTATTTTTCCTTTTGTTTATAGTTTGTTCTATTTTTTTTGTTTTTTTATACGTATATGTTTTCTATTTTTGAAGTCGTTATTTGTTTATTATGTTTTTATCGTTTTTATTGTTTTATGCTATGTCATTTTTGTTTACTTATCTTTATTGTTTTCATTTTTCCTTATTTCCGCGCAAATTCCTTAAATAAGGAATTTCGACTTTTTCCGCAATTAGTTTTCAAAAGAAAGATTGAAATTCAGTTTTTTTTAATCCTAATAGAGTTTGCCTTTTCCACGATGATTTTTAGAAAAAAAATATTGAATTTCAACATTTTTGTTGAACAATAATCGTGGAGAAAAGTCGAAATTCCTTAAATTCAAGGTCAGCCCTTGAATTTAAGGAATTTTGCGCGGAACTAAGGAAAAATAACATAAAAATGTTTATTAAAAAAATAACATCCAAAAAAAAAACAATAAATAAATAAAATTGAAAAACATGGAAAATGAAGTAAACATACAAATCATTGTTTTCCAAGAAATTTAAAATAGTGTCTTTTCGGAAAGACATGTAATTAATATATGTAAATGAAAAATGAAAACATTGAAACACATGAATAAATGAAATATACTCCAAAATCCAATGCATATTCGTAGTGTCTAGTTTTTAGATTGTGTTCAAATTGGTGGAAGCAATGTTCTTTGAGCGACAATCGAAATGCTCAAAAGTGGCGCCTGAGGCGGGCCTTTCTAAAGATTCATTTTAAAAAAAAAAATCGATGGCAGGCGGCAAGGCTTCTGTCTGCAAAAAAATGTCTAAATAATTTTAAACACCATACATGTAAAAACGAAAGGCCAAGAAAAATAAGCATGAACATGGTTTCAAAAAATCGAACAAAAGCGAACAGACTTGAAGAATTAAAGAATGTATATATATATATTATTTCCATTTTCATGCCCAACATCAACAGCTGCTGCTGTGGAGCAAGTCCAATGAGCTGTTGTAAGATGTTGTAAGTATTTGTTTTGGATGATTTCTTTAGGTGCCTGCATTTGTTTCTTTGTGGCTCCTGTTATTTTCTGCGCATACTTTATTTTGACCTACGCTGTGAACATCTACTAGTTTGTCATCCAACTTTTCACAAAATGAGTCATGTGGATGGCTGCAGTTACCTGATTCAATACAATTTGCTCAAAACCCTTTCAAACTGGATTTCAATCCGAAACAATTGGTTTGCAAATATCCTAAAACTTATTCCCGTGTAATTCCCTTATTTCCTTGAACTATGAAAGTTTACAACCTGTCTTACCCCATCTACCTATTAATCTGGATGGTCAAGATTCCCATTAACGGTGGTTTCTAGGAGAAGATTCCCTGGTATCTGGTCAAACATCTGGTTAAGGTCAGCTCTGGATTTGCGAAAATCACAAGGTGCTGCACCATTCATCTCCATTCCTCTCCGCAGTTTTTTCGGACCTCAAAATCCCATCAAATCTGAAGAAAAGTTAATCTGATATTTTAAACAGATCATGTTCAAGTATATCTACAAATCTGTTTACACAAATCATTCAACCTCAATTTTCCCATGGAAACATGGCACTGTTCAAGTATTTTCCTCCGCACAGCGCACCTCAACTGGCAAAACTTCACCGCTTTGCGGACATAGCCGCCCGGGTACTCCTCGAGCGGAGACTGGCTGAGACTGGTGATTGGGATCCTCCAAGTACCGAAAAAAAAAAAGATGGGCGAAAACAGCAGAAGTCATGGGGCAACAACTGAGGAAAAGGATGGGGCAAGATGCCAGCATCCAATTTTTGATCCTTGGAGAGTCTGGGATGTTTTTACAAAACTGTTTAAGAAAGAACAACTGCTGAAACCATTTGATGTGAAAACCATAAACCCAACAATTCATCGTGCAAAGTTTATGTCCAGATCTTAGGTTCAGTTCTTTCTGCAAAAGCACCTCCACGACAAGACCAAGCACAAAAAGCCGCTGGGACAGTTGAAGTTTGATTTTATTCCCGAAAAAAAAAAAAAAAAAAACAATAAATCAGACAGTTCCACTTAGGATACTTGTCTGAAAACTTAAGTGGAAATAGTCTACTTGGATTTGTCAATCAGACAACTGGTTGGTGGTATACCTACCCCTCTGAAAAATGATGGAGTTCGTCAGTTGGGATTATGACATTCCCAATATATGGGAAAATAAAATGAATGTTCCAAACCACCAACCAAACAATCATCTACCGACTTCCATCCCATGGTTTTCGACGATCAGATTCACCATTTAAGCATTGCCCACCGCGTTCCATGAAATTCGTTCCAGTATTCGTTGGTCAACCAAAATATGGTCTTCATAATAAATGCCACTGACATAAAAGGAACTTGCCAAGAGTATAGAAATTACTTGTTATTTAAATGTATGTATAATATATATATAACCAATCTGCACCACCAACCAATGGTGTCTGCTGGCAATTCCTCGGACTCAAGACGATTTGACGTTCGCAAAGTTGGTTGAATGCACGAGAAGAACTACTCTCTGGTAAACTAACATAACTATGGAAAATCACCATTTTTAACGGGTAAATCCACTACAAATGGCCTTAATAGCTATGTTAAATTACCAGAGGGTATATATCATGTGGGAAACCCTTGCTGCCATCAACCTACCATGACTGGGTATGGTTCAAAAAATGGTTGTGATTCGACTTGGGGATGGTTTATGGCAGCCTTACGGTAAAACACCACAGCCAGGTTGTGGTACAGTTTATGGTGATGAAATAAATAGACTTAGATCATGGCTGATAAAGGTCTGAAACTTCGGAGCCTACCAGCCTACCACTTTTTTATTACAATGTTTTTTTAGACGTGATGAGGTTTGAATGTCCGAATTGCCCTCTCGTAGTCAAACATGGTGGAAGTCACCCATAACATGGTGGTTTTCATGAGAAAATCCTCTATGGATGGTCCGTTTCCCCTGTAGATTTTCAGAGAAACCCATGTCCCCTTCCCAAATATCGGATTGTTGGTTAGACCATGTTATATACTCCCATTAAAAAAAAAAAACACATCCCATATAGCTTCAGCTGAAGCCAAGACCGATGTCAGAATATGTTAGATGTGCAATAAGAAAGTTATAATCTGGGTAAATTAAAATATCGTAATTATTTCACACACCTGAAATCCCAAATGGGTTGGTCGGATATTTTGGGCTGCCCCCAACATCCATGAAAATCCCATGGTTTATCAACATATTTCCTATTTAAAATTGCCATTTGACACAATTTGTATATGCTATACACCATTCTACTACTTGCTTGAAAACGATGTTCCTATGGATTATCATAATCCCCGATAAGCCATGTAGTATCATACCCAAAAATCATCACCCATCACCCAAGGGATTTTTAACAGCTCAATTTGGAGGTTTCCTAAATTGGGGGTACCCCCAGTCATCATCCATTTTAATGGTATTTTCCCATGGAAATAAACCATTCATTTGGGGGTACATCCATTTACCCTCTGGTAAACGTTTAAATTAACTATGGAAAATCCACCCATGCTATTCATGGGAAAATCAACTATTTCTCTGGCCATGGCTTCAATAGCTATTTTGACATCACCAGAGGGTATGGAAACCCCCAGAAAAACCAGATGTTATCAGGGGACAACCACCTGTTCGGACTGAAAACCATCCCTCGGTCATCCCTCTGTCCTTCAAACTTTCCTGCACACTTCGTAGGGCCTCCACGCCTTTTTTGTCACGGAGGGGATAAAAACAGGATGGTTAAAATCACCATCAATGGGGAGATTTACCATGATTATTTCATGATGCTGGTATCATATTTCATCCAAAAATGTGGTCTCAAGAAATGAATCTCATTTTTGCTGATGGTGATTCATGTTTCATGATTTTTTTGCTGGGACGATGGCTCTGGGAACAGTGGTTAACCGACGTGGTGAGCGCCACATTTCTGGAATGGGATCCGATGGGATCCCCAGCGTCGATACCCAAGATGATCCTCCAGTCATCCGCAAAAAAAACATATGTTAGAATATGGTAAATTAACATAGACCCTGGCAGATAGGGGTTGGAAGACTAGTTTCCATTAAAACTTGGCTATTTTCAGGGTCTATGTTTATTTACCAGAGGGTAGAATATGGTATGAAAATTGACTTTGGAAAAAAAAACAATGATTAGATTCTATTGGAATCCTAGTGAACTTGATAGTTTATCCAAAAAATCCAATCGAATCCTATGAATTTGGATAAATTCTATGTTTTTATTTATGATCATAGAATCGTTTATAATCCCTATGATTTAGACATAGTCCCGATGAATATGAGAGAATCCTAAAATTATCAACCATGGTTATAGAATATTTATAGGCTTAATCACTATATGATAGGATGATGTTAACAATTTTTTTCGGGTTGTCATATCCCTGGTTGACATAGTGATGGTGAAAAATCCTTCAGCGGTTTTCAGCTGGCCGCCTCGAGCATTGCGGAAGGTCACAGAGAAGGTCGGCAAGTCCTCGAACACACCGCGGTTCGGTGCGGCGGTAGAACCGCTGCGTCACTGGGGATCATCATGCCATGTCAGTTGACGTTGGAAGAACAATGTCATAATGTCTAGAAGGATTACATCTATCTATCTAATCTAATCTAATCTAATCTAATCTAATCGATCTAATCTAATCTAATCTAATCGATCTAATCTAATCTAATCGATCTAATCTAATCTAATCGATCTAATCTAATCTAATCTAATCTAATCGATCTAATCTAATCTAATCTAATCGATCTAATCTAATCTAATCTAATCTAATCGATCTAATCTAATCTAATCTAATCTAATCTAATCGATCTAATCTAATCTAATCTAGTCTAATCTAATCTAATCTAATCGAACTAATCTAATCTAATCTAATCTAATCTAATCTAATCTAATCGATCTAATCTAATCTAATCTAATCTAATCTAATCGATCTAATCTAATCTAATCTAATCTAATCTAATCTAATCTAATCGATCTAATCGATCTAATCGATCTAATCGATCTATCGATCTATCGATCTATCTATCTATCTATCTAATCTAATCTAATCTAATCTAATCTAATCTAATCGATCTAATCGATCTAATCGATCTAATCGATCTAATCGATCTAATCGATCTAATCGATCTATCGATCTATCTATCTATCGATCTATCGATCTGTCGATCTGTCGATCTATCTATCTATCTATCTATCTATCTATCTATGTGTGTATGTCAGCTATGAGATATTAGATAGATGTTAGTCATTCTATATATATATACTTATATATATATTTTATATGTGTGTGTGCTAGATATATATACCGTTTATCCATCTCCATCTCTACTTGGTGGCTCGCCCCAGGAATCATGTTTGTGGGTGAACGTTCACCCCAATTCTAAACAACTTAGCCTACTAGATTCTAACTGGGGCGAACTAACCCACTAAGTGTGGTGAGCCACCAAGTACCCTCTGGTAAACTAACAGTTCGCTATGAAAATCACCATTTCAATAGCGAAATCAACTCATTTCTATGGCCATCTGTACCATATAGCAAACTGTAAAAAATTGCCAGAGGGTAATCAACCTGAAAGAAACATTGTTTTTAAAACTCTTGGTGAATTTTCCATTATCAACCATCATTAACTACTATAAACAATTACTAAATCTGATTAACCATTAATAACCACTAAGAAACTGGGGTAAGCACTACGATTATCACTCATTACCAAAGGCAAACTGCAACAAATTACCAGAGACTATAGCCATTTTCAGCCCATGTCACTATAAACCATTGTTAACCATGTCACAATTTCCACGATTATCAACCATTATTAACAATTATAAACCATTATTAACCATGATTAATCATTGTTCTCATTATTACTGGTGAATTATGGTTAAAAACCCCAATTAACCATCATTAATCACCATGATTAACCATGTTTTTCAGAACATTTGAACAACTAGAAAGGTATAGCTATGATTATAATCAACCATTATGGCCATCACCATATGCAAACTGTAACATACTGTGGATGGAAGAAATCCTGCACCAGTTGGGAACTATTAGGTACCTATGAAACACTGTAAATAATGGGATTATAATGGGATTATAATGGGATTATAATGGGATTATAATGGGAAAACCCACCAACTGGTGCAGGATTTCTTCCATCCACAGTATTACCAGAAGGTATACCCAACAGCCCATTTCACGAAATCGTCTCCTGCAACAGGACGCAGAGCTTCAAGGCCGAGCTCAGCATCCCCTGGGGCTCTGCTCGCATCGGCATCTTGCTGGCGCGGTGACACACGGGCGCGGAGAAGTGCTGAAGGATCAGGACCAAGGCTGAAGCCACCCTGGAAAAATGGCTGGAAAATGGAGAAAAATGGAGCATTTATAATATTTATAGATGAAGAATGCTAGAAAATTGATGGTTTTTTGTTTTGGGTGAATGGGTTCAACGGGAAGAACAAAAAAAATCAGCAATGGAATTTGATAGATGTTGATGGATTTTAACGGATACAACTAAACAAATGTGTATATACGTATATAAATATATATATATGCATGTTTTTGAATGTGTCTGAAAATGGTGTATATATTCCCCCAAATATTCAAATAGCATTAAAAAAGAAAAATAAAGATTAACCATGAATCAACAGCCATTTCAGGCACCTAAACTGGAGGTACTGTACCAGATAAAGCCATAGAATTTGGAGGTATATCCGCTGAAATTTAGTTCTTACATAGACCTTATGTATAGTGGATACCTCCAATAAATCGGCTCCTGAAATGGCCACTGATTTCAAGAGAAAGTACATCAGCAATATCTGGACTATCTGTGGTGGTTGGGAAACCATTGGACCATGCACACAGTCTGAGACTAAGTTCTGGTCAATGTATATCTGGTTGGTGGTTTCAACCCCTCTGAAAAATATTAGTCAGTTGGGATGATTATTCCCAATATATGGAAAAATGTTCCAAACCACCAACCAGATATATATATATACCCTTGGGGGCGGGAGTTCCCCGAGGGGGGGAAGGGGTGGGGTGGGGTGGGGTGTAATAACGTTCATGTAACTTGCGTGAAGGGGTGGGGTGGGGTGGGGTGGGGTGGGGTGTTCATGTAACTTGCGTAGAATTGGAGGCGACGTGCATGCTGCGTGGATGTTACGGTCATTCTAAAGTCATGTTATGTACTTCTCAGGCATATGCCATGTTACGCTAGTGTAAGTTCTCTTGTAATTGTGACGTCTACGTCATGCTACGCTAGTGTAAGTTATCTTGTACTTGTCACGCATACGTCATGCTACGCTAGTGTAAGTTCTCTTGTACTTGTCATGCATGAGTCATGCGGGGGGAAGAGGTGGGCTTGGGTGGGGTGGGGTGTAATAACGTTCATGTAACTTGCGTGAAGAGGTGGGGTGTAAAAACGTTCATGTAACTTGCGTGAAGGGGTGGGGTGTAAACATCGCAACGTTCTAGCAGCATTCTAGCAGTGCACTATGTAAGCAAAAAGCCTGGTTTGGAAAGTGTCTTGAATGCACTCGCACGCTTCAAGGAGTTGGCAATGAAAAGTTGCCGGCAGCCTGGTTTGTGCCTTCTATAGTGGTTGATATGTCTTGTACTAATGCTTTTGTATAAAAACAGAAAAAACAGCTGACTCACAGCACTCGGAAATTTTGATGATATGCAAAATCACTGTGAATTACCAATGAAAAACAACATCACATCAAAATACCTGTGGAAACACAGTATATTATACCCTTTTCCAATGATCTTTGATATAGCACAAAATGCGCACCTCGTAATTCCAATGGAGAAAATAAGAACACCAAAAAAAACATATTGTGATGGTCCATAATTGACTTCAACTTCGACGGACGAAAAAAAAATGCTCCGTAATTGAAAGACATCAACAATGAAAAGAACGACATGAAAAATCTCCATTTTACCACAGTGAAACACTGTTTTTTCTCCAATTCAATGATCCTGATTGACGTCCTCTCGGGGAACCTCCTCCCCCTGCCGTATATATATAT